CAAACCAGCAACCTTTTGGTTTAGAGGCCAGCACCCGATCCACTGAACCACACCAGCCAGGGCTAAAATTATTATTGTTAATGTAGCAGAGGCTACTGTATATTTCCCAAAGTCTGTTCTCTCCTTCTTGTTTCAATAACAGCCATCTGTAAGTTGTAAGTATGCATATGACTCTCCTGAATAAACACAGCATCTTCTAGACATTATTACAGCTAAGAGTGACCATGTGACGAGGTCCTGGCCAGTCATATGTAAGAAGTGTTATGTATCAGCTTATGGGAACCTTCATTGAAGGAAAAGGAAGGAAGGGAGGGAGGGAGAAAGGGAGGGAGGGAAGAAGGGAAGGAGGGAGGGAGGAAGGTCTAAACTCCTCCTAGTCAAAAATAAATAAAAATAAAATAAAAAGGAAAAGTGAATACTTACCAGATTCTCAAAATTAAATAGTTTGAAATAGCTAAGGGTTGGTGAGGATACAAAGCAACACAAACTCTCAAATATTGCTGGTGGGAGTGTAAATTGGTACAATCACTTTGGAAAAACAGTTTGGTATTATTGAACAAATGTGAAGTTATGCATACTCAATAATCCAGAAATTCATTCCTAAATTGATATTTTAGAGAAACATGCGTGTGTACTAGGATATGTGTAAAACGATATCAGTAGCAGCATTATTTGTTAATTGCCATAACTGTACTAATCCAAAGGTCCATCAACAGCAGATCAGATAAATAAATTGAGGTAATTTATTTATCGTTTAATAAATTACCTCAATTTATTTATCTGATTTTCTAAATTGGAAAATCTATGGAAAGGAAGACAGGAGTTTAGAAATTGAGGTCAGCAAGAAATTGAATTAACATCCGTTGAATAGCAGCAAGAACCAAACTAACACAAATAGTAAGATTCAAAAACAGGCAAAACTATATCCTTTAGAAATGCGCACTTAGGTGAAACTTTAGAGAAAAGAAAAGAAAAGCAATGATTACCATAAAGTCAGGATTATAGTAATCTGTAGGTCTGGGGTAGAATTCCTCTAAGGAGAGTTGTGATTAGAAAAAGTAATAGAGAGCTTCTGAAATTCTCTCAGTGCTCTGTTTCTTCACTTGAGTGGAGGCTGCATGGATGTTTCTTTAAAATACATATTTTAAACTATACATTGTCTTATGTACTTTTCTACATGAATATTATATTTCACAATTTTAATTACAGATATATAAAGAAACACTGTGCCCTTGGCCTCTCATCTTTTTCAGTCCTTTCTCTATCCTGCTGCTCGAAGCATAGATTCTGCCCCCCGAGACCATGAGAACAAGGATCTCAACATAGAAATATCAGACTAATGAGCTGGAAGGTAAGTCCCTGAGGACTTTGTGGGGCACAGCTGCCATATCAGTTCTGAACCTTTTGCTTCTGTATTTCATTTACATGACAGATAAACTTTATATTATTTTAGAATTTTGTTATTTATATATCCAAACCTGATATGAATTAATATCCCTATATACAAGGTCTTCCAAAAGACAACCTATTCAATAGAAAAATTGCCTGATCTCATACACACATAAACATACACACACATATATGCATACAAATACATACACAATTAGGCAATTAATTCATGGAATAAGAATCCAAAGAGCTCATAAATACCTAAAAAGTGTGTAATATCAGCAGTAATCAGAGAAATGCAAATTAAAACAAGATAGTATTTTTCACGTAACACATCAGCAAGTATTTTTAAAAGCAATATGTTCATTTCTGTTGACTATTTAGGATAATGGTCCCTCTCAGGCATTATTAATGTAATTGCTATAAATTTTCAGAAGGTAAATTGGCAATATCTTTTAAATTTGAAATGCTCTTACCATGTGAGATAGCAAAGCAACACAAATTTATACCATAGAAATAAAAGTAACATATTCAAGATGCTATGTTCAAGAATTCTTATTGTGGCATAATCTGTCAGGGTAAAAAACTGGAAACATCTGTTAAACCCATCATTAATAGAATGTCTGGATAAATTAAGGCATATCCTTACTATGAAATATTCTACAGCTGTTAAAAATGAGTTAAATCTGTATATCTTGGTCTAGAAGTTTGTTTATTGTATATTGTTTAGTGAGGTAAATAAATAACCCATTTTTATATAACTCTCCAACCTCTTTTATGTATAAATGTGTATGAACATGCAAGAAGGCATGAAAAAATACACCCAAGACTAACATTGGTTACCTGGGAGTCAGGGTAGCAATGGTGATTGTTTTTTTCTGCATTCACCTTTGGATAGTTTTACTTGCTATGAGTATAATTATGTGTTGCTTTTGTTTTATGTAATTTAAAATTGTCTTTAATAAAAGATGCATGTCCAAGAATGCAAAATAATTAATGTACCTCAAAGCAAGAGGAAGATCTTCATAATTGATTATTGTCAAACATTAAAACAATATCACTGAAGCAAACTGCACAAACCTGTACAAAATAAAGTAGGTAACTTAAGAGAATAATGTGGTTTATCTACTGATGTTTCATAATTAGAATTTTATTAATAATTAATTTGAAAGATAACCATGTGTTAGTAAAATAACTGCATGTTACTTCTTGCAGTCTTCTGGGAAAGAATTTAATAACAAGCTATGTTATTATGGAAAGGAAGACAGGAGCTTAGAAATACAGAGAAAAGGATAATTCCTTTTTCCACATCAGGCAGGTCTGAAGACTCTCAAGTGAGTGTGTGTGGTGGGGGAGGGGTGGCTATAAATCAAGGTATACACATCTCACGTCTTAGTTCTAACTCTTCTTCCTGCTTCTTCGCAAATGTTCTTCCACCAAAGGTATGGCCAACACCTAGCCAGACTCCTGAATCATGTTTGCCTCCTTCCTTTTGCTTTGTTCTTTCCCTGAAACCGTCTGGTTGCTAAATCCTCTCAATTTTATCTCTGGAATGCTCCTGCCCTTTCCCTCCTCCTGAACCTGTTGCATTTGGCCAGGATTATTTAATAACATTGGCGCTGCCACCACCAAACAAGCTTAGGCTCCTTTGCTAGGTCTTTCCGACCTTTCCCAACTGGCTCTTTGAGGCTTCCCACCACCTTCTCACTGATGCCCTCTTTTGCTCTGTATGATCAAGATTTTGCTCGCCCGCGAGAGCCTCATCGTTGACCAGGCCCAGTCCTCTGACCCACGCAAGCCTGAGAACCCCAGTATTTCGGCAACGGCAGCCCAAAGGGCCAGAAGCCGGGAGCCTGAGGGGAGGGGCAAGGGGCGGGTCAGAGGGAAGGGCCTTTCCTGGTTGGCCAATGGAAACGCTGAGATCACGGTCAGAGGTCACCTGTCGAAAGAGCGGGAATTTCCGCCATTGCGGAAAGAAGCACTGCTACCTCCGATAAAAGGTCTGAGGCTGGAGAAAGGCGGGAGCCGAAGTGTTCCTGAGCTGAGAGGAAGAAAAGTTCAGGATGGGCTAGAATATGGCAGTTCTGAACTCTGGAAAACAGTTTTGTGTGGCTCTGTGGGGACAAGACTCCAAAACTAGCGTCCACCTCACCTAATTAGGCTAGAATGGAGGATGGGAAGGGCCCAGAAAGGCCGATAGGACTTCTGTCCACTAACTAGAAGTTGTTTAGTTAAACAATATGAGAAAATATAGGCGCCTCGCTTCCTCCTCGATTTTCCATGGCTGAAGTATCGTTTTATGTGAGAGTGAGGAAGGGCAGAAATTTGACACTTTAGGCTGGTGGGAGGAGATGGGAAGCCAGCCAGGAGATTCACACTCGCCTGTGTACGTGGTCTTCCATGCTCTTGGGAATGACGTCATTGTATACACGTACACCTTAAATATATACAATTTTTTATCAGTATTTACAAATTATACCTCAATAAAGCTGAGAGGGAAAAATCTTGGGAAACCTTGCTTTTCTACCTTGTACGTAGGCACCTGACCTAATTGTCCGTATTCATTTCTTTTTTGGCCCAATGGATACAGGTCAGCAGGTAGCACAGGAGAAACAAAATCTTTAAAAAAGGGTAAGTAAAAATATTTCAGGAATTGCTGCAATTCAAAAGTTGGCTATGTTTTTAAAAAGATTTTATTTATTTAGTTTTAGAGAGAGAGAAAGTGAGGGTGAAAGAGAGGAAGAGTAACATCAATCTGTGGTTGCCTCTGGAGCGCCCCCTACTGGGGACCTGGCCCGCAACCCAGGCGTGTGCCCTGCTTGGGAATGAACCTACAATCCTTTGGTTTGCAGGCCTGCACTCAACCCACTGAGCCACACTAACCAGGGCAAAAGATGGTTATTTTTAAACACATTTTCTCTAACCATGATTTTGCTTCTTGTCCTCTTGTCTTTAATTTTGGAAATAAGGTCTATTTATCTTTCTTCCTATCTATCTACCACTATAAAATGGATTCAAATATCTGTAATGCAATGATATTAAGTTGCAGATGAAAGGAATGCTATGCGTTTGTATAACATGGTTTGGTTCCTGGTCAGGGACACGCCTAGGTTGCAGGCTCCATGACCCATCCCTGGTTGGGGTGCTTGTGGAAGGCAGCTGATTGATATTTCTCCCTCACTTCTGAGTTTCTCTCCCTCTTTTTCCCTCCCTTCCCCTCTCTAAAATGAAATAAAATAAATAAAATAAAATAGTTGTCCTGAGAAAAACACTCTACTAGTCTTGAGAACTCTGGCCTCTTTTGCAACAAAATGATTGCATTAAATATATTTCAACCCCTCAACTAGAAGTTGTATGGATTCAACAGTATGAAATTTCTGTGAATAACCTTATATCAACATATATTATTACATATTTATATAAGTCTTTAATAAGTGTTATGTTCATAGTTAATTTTTTTTTATCATTCAGAGCCTTTTATAAATGAATGAACCAAAGTTTTGTGAATAAGAACGATTTTCCTGCTCCTGGCTTAGCTATTTTACCAACAGTTAATGTAATTTTTATTTTTCCAGATGTTGAAAATTGTACTGCTTTCAAAGGAAGAAGATATGTTTTCAATATTCAAATATTGTGCAATAGACTATTTATATGAGGTAGGATGTTACTGGATCACCATCTATTTACTAAGAATTGTGATACAAAAAGTGTTATTTGTAGTCACTATATGATCATGGTAATTTTACAGTTGTCCTTGGATTCATCCTGAGTCTAGTTGCTTTGAGATGCACTTAAAATTACTTCCTATTTTTAATATAGCTCAAAAATGCCAGTCTGGGAGGAAAATAATTGTCAATTTAATATGAAGTTAAAGCTCTTACAGAAAAAAATGGAAACTCAGCAAGTTTGGGCTGCTTTCATGAATAATCTTGAGTAATCTTTATGGAAAGAAGTGTGAGGGAGAACATTTTCTTAGTTATCTTTATGATAAAATAACAGTAACCAATAATGAGCCAGGTACTTTGTTAGATTAATTATATCATTTAGGTATAATTATAATACTTGGGTAAATTTGATTAAATCCTCAAATATTTTTAAAAAATATCCTCTTTATGATTAAAAGTAATAACTACTATCATACAAATTATGATATAAAACAGTTTGTGGGGAAGTTATGACAAAAAAGCTATTATAATTATAAGCTAATTATAAACAAAATCTTTTTAAATATAAAATTTAATTTTTTATAACTTTATTCTTGTAAATAAAGTATCAATAAAGCAATTTTTCCTTCTTACTGTGAACATTTGGTTCTCATTCGATATATATTACTATAACTGATCTTTTCTTTGTACCATTTATTCTTGGATAATGAGGACCTCTTATTTAATATGCTATAACACCTTCAGCAAACATAAAACTCTTGGGCAATAATGTAAGACTCTATCATTTGTCCAAGTTCCTAAAATAATGAACTAACTCTGTGGGAAGTTGAGAGTCACTAAGGGCCGATTTCATAGAAGAGCTAGTGATTAAGACAAGCCTTGAGAAATGAATAGGATTTTGATAGAGAAAAGTAGTGGGGCATTTTTCAGAGGCACACTGCACCAGGGGTGTCCAACCTGCGGCCCACAGCCTGCATGTGGCCCAAGACGCCTATGAGTGCATTCCAACACAAAATCATAAATTTTCTCAAAACCTTTTTTTGCTCATCAGTTTTCATTAGTGTTTGTGTATTTAATTTGTCGCTCAAGGCAGCTCTTCTTCCAATGTGACCCAAAGACGCCAAAAGAGTTGGATATCCCTGCCAGCAGACCAAGGTGTCAATAAGGTAGTGAGTGCTCAATGTTAAGGGAGGTAGTAGGAGACAAGTCTATTTAAAGAGAACTATTAGTATTAGAGAGTAATGGGTAATAAAGCTAGAAAGTAAAGGCATAATAGAATTATAAATTTGCTTAACTGATTTAACATTCTTTTAAAGAAATAATTTCCTTTATTAGATTTTTAAAAATTAAAATCACATTTGATAGTTGTCACAAGTGAAAAAACGCAAAGACATAGAAAACAAAAGTTACGACAGCCATATTATATTAAGTGGAAAAAAAGCATATTGCTAAATGGTATACAAATGATGTGATCCCATTTTTTGTCAAACACAATATACACACATTTTGGCCTAACTTAGAAAAAAAGTTTGTAGGAAAGTACATCAAATTATTACTAATATTGCTTCAGGCCTTGATTTTCTCAGTATGTGGTTCTGTGTTATTTGACATTTTATAATGAGCGTATATTACCTTTAAATAAAAATAATATAAATTTAAAAGAATAGAGAATTTTAATATTCTGAAGATAGGTAAATATGTTAAATCTGCTAAATATATTAAAAGATTTTATAATCTTTATTACATAGAATGTAATTAGAAAGAAGTTTTGCAGAGATGCTTTAGTGCTTCGAATCCCTTCATGTTTGTATCAAGATGGAAGTTATCATGCACAAGTTATTGATAATAAATTTAGGAGGCCATGGACAAGAGGTATTTTACTTTTATTTCTCAAAAATCTATTTTAAAAATTACTTTAGAGTTTAGCACAGTAAATTAAGAAAATGTAATGCTTTTCTCATTAAATAAAACTCATTGCATTTATTTGTTTATGTGACAAGATAAGGAATTGAAAATCTTATACTAGATATGAATAGAACAAATAAAAAATTTGCAGATGATAAAGTCTTAAACTATTCTAATGGTGTAAACGTTTATTATATTATAAAAGGATCTCACTCTTTTGGAGGAGCCGGAGGGCTACTTTAAATTGCAATGATACACTGACTATGAAACTACTTTTAAGTGTATATGTACAAAATATCATCTTTTTCTGTAATGATGGCATTGACTTAGGAAAGAGGTAGCCTCCATGAATAAATCAAGACCGTTAACATTTATTTAGTGTATATTATGTATCAGGCACTGTTCTAGGTGATAAGGACACAGATACTAATAAGACATAGAAGCAGTCCATGCCCTCAGTGGGTTTTCAGACTGGTAAGGAGGATAGAGCAATAAATCCACTAAGTACATAAACTACTATGTGTTATTGATAGATGTATAGAGAAGGCATAATAGTGTAATGTGATATGAAATTTTAGAAGTGAGGAGTGCTATTTTCTGAAAATGATTAGGGAAGGACTTCTATGAAGAGGTGGACATGTAAGTTGAGACCTGAACGAGGAGAAGGCAACAACCATTTAAAAAGATATGTGAAGAAGCCTATCAAATGCATGTAAAGTTCCTGACTCAGGAATAAACTTGATGTGGGTAAGGGAGAGAAAATTAGTCCAATGTGACTGGTTCATGAAAACACATGGAAATCTGAGAAGGAGGCAGTTTCTGAAAGATATAAAGCTCTGAAGGCTATAATATGGCTAATGTGGTAAGTCATTAGACAGTTTTAGGACAGGGAGTGACATAACCTGATTTATACTTTACAAAAATTATTCTGGTTGTCTACAGTATGGAAGGGATAGGGACTGGGAGGCAAGAGTAGAAGATAGGAAAGTCAATCTGGAAGCTACTGTAGTGGTTCAGAATCTAGACTATAAGGTGAATGAATCTACACTCTACATAAAAGATGGTGGGGCTCAGACTAGTCTTATAATAATGGAGATGTGAGAAGTGGTTTGAAACTGGGATTATTTTAGAGGTGTAGCTAACAGTGAGAGGGTTAAAAAAAAATAGAAGAATGAAAAATTTCCTCTAGGTTTTAGACCTGAGCAGCAGGGTGGATGGCAGTGCTAGTTCCTAAGATAGGAAAAGGCTCATGAGGAAGCCAATTTTTGGTTGGAACCAATAGCTCTGCTTTGGCCAAGTTCAAATATCTATAGGCATGTAAATGGAGACATCAAGAAGGCAATTGGTTATATTCATCTTGAGCACAGCCAGAGCTTCAAATTGGAGTCACTGATATGTAAATTGCATATAAACTCATAGAACTGGATGAAGTCACTGAGAGCATGGGTATAGACAGAGCAGAGAGCCTAGGACAGAGCCTAGGAGAACACTTCAACAGTTAAAAGGCTGACAAAGTTGGGGGGAAACACCTAAGACAAGTGAGATAGGAAACCCAAATGCATGTGGTGCTGGAGAATTCTAAAGGAGAAAGTGTTTCAAGAAGGAAGAAGTAGTCAAAAGCATTGGTCCCTGTTTAAAGGTCAAGGAAGACAAGGATAATGAGTTGACCATTAGCTTGACTAAATGTAAGATATTGATGACCTTGGTAAGAGAGATTTCACTAGAATATTGGGTGAGAAAGCTTAATTAGAATATATTGAAAAGAGAATGAGAAGTGAAATGTGAAATGGTGAATATAAGCAACTCTTTTGAGGAATTTTGCTATTAAGGAAAATAGAAAAATGAGGCACTAGCTTAAGGGAGAAATGAGATAAAGAGAGGTTTTGTTTGGTTTTGTTTTTGATGTGTGATTTTAAAAAAAAAATGTGATGAAGAAAAACTATAAAATGTTTGTTTGAGAGTGAGAATGATCTTGGTAAAAAAAGAAAATGATGCAGGAAAGAAAAAAATAGCAAAAAATGGATAGTATCAAGAGCACAAGTGAAGGAGTTGGTGTTAGATAGAAGCTAGGATAGTTCTTCTACTGTGATAGATAGGAAGACAGGATTTGAAGGTACTTAAGCCAAAGAAATGGTAGAATTGGTGGTGAAAGATCAGGGTTTTATTTATTTATTTATTTATTTATATCAATGTTCTATGTGAAGGCAAGACCATAAACTGACAGTGGGTAGGGGGTTGAGTATGGACAATTTGAGGAGGGAAAAGTGTTAACTAGTTGTCTTCAAAAATGAGAAAGCCAGTTTTATTAGAAAGGTGTACTGTATCATCTGTCAATGTTGAATGCCCTTTTGAAATTTGTGGTCATAATTTGAAATGAGCTCATTCAGCATGGCTGAATAATTTTTTCCAATCATTTTTAGCCGTTCTAGTGTACTTACACGAAGTGGAGAGTAGGGGTTTTCCTAAATTAGTACAAGGAAAAGAGAGGCAACAGAAGAATCTTTGTAAGGAAGAGGTTATGGGATGGCCATGGAACCTACACTGTCTGAGAAGAAAACTGAGGATATGAGAGAGGACAAATATTGTAAAAATGGAAGGGTCAATAGATTGAAGGTCTCAATAAGGTTGGAATAGCTTTCATCAAACTGCTTCTCTAAAAGTACAGAAGGAAAAAATGAGTTTATAATTTCTTCCTACTTATTTTCCCTTTCATCTTTTTAAAAACAATGATAACAATGACACCCAAAATTTATTAGCCACTTACAATATATCAGGCAGTGTTCTAATCAGTTTACATGTCTCTTCACATTTAATCTTTATAACAACGCTATGAAAGGGCCATGATTATTCTTGATTTGTAGTTAAGGAAACTGAAGTACAAAGAGGTTAAGAGATTTGCCTGAGATCATATAGTTAATAAGTAGCAGTACACATATTAATATCCAGGCAGGGTGATTCTACATAAAAGATGTACACTAAACTTGCATATTTTTTAGTGAGACATGCACTCAGATGTTAAGTGATTTGTTCAAGGTAACACAGCTAGTAAGAAGTAACACTGGTGGTAAAATACAATCATCTGACTCTATTCAGTTGCTTCTGTGGACACTAGTATATGACATGGTTCTTCTCCTTAAGGAACCAAGGGTCTAATTTGGGAGGTAAGTATAGGTACATACAATCTTAATACATGACTGTATATGATTAAGTACCAGAGGGACTGCTACTGACAATATTACAGCTCTTCAAGGGGAATATATTAGAGTGAGTTGGGAGGGTTAATAAAGGCCTGTGAGGGATAATGTGAACTGCTGAAGAACACTCTCTGGGATAGTAGTGCTATATAACCAAAAGAGAGGCTGTAAAAGTGAAGAGAGTACGTTCAGGTGATATTGTTCTGACTGTAGTGGAATTTTTAAAGGAGGAATGGAATAATGAGAATAATTACTTAAATATTTGAAATCTGGTATAACTTTGGAAAAAAGTTGCATTATGAAAAACAAAGATAGCATCATAATGTAAAAGTTGAATGTTTGGCTTCCTTGTATTAACTGGAAAAGGAAATTCTAGAAGCTAATGTTTACCATGCATCTTTCTAGTGTCAGCTGTTTCAGTTTGGGGAATGACAGACAGCTCAGTCCTGGATCAATGGAAAGCCAGCCTCAATTTGGAGGACTTCCTTGAGAAGTAAGTGTCCTTCATGTCCAATTTCCCTTTTACATCTAGAAGATAAACAGGAAGTTCTCCAGACAGCTACAGAGAGAAGATCCTTTCCTTTATATCCTCACAAATTGTCTTTTACCTGAAGAAGAAGCTTTAATCCGACCACAAATGAGAGGTTAATATACATCCTCTTTTTATCTTTCCCTCATTCATCTATATATTAACTGTTCTCTATGCATTTGTGTTAGAAAAGACATATAGAAATAAAGAAAATACATTATTATGCTTTTATTCAATAAGTAAACTTTTTATAGAAAGTGTCTATGCAGAGTCCCTTATAGTAAAATCGGTCTTTGCCACTGTAGTGTAAATGCAGATTTAAGACTATTTTCTAACATGCTTTGTCAAAATGTTATTTATTATTAGTTCAGTCATTCATCAAATACTTACTAGATACCATCCTGAGTGCTGGATACAGGATACAAAAATGAGTAAGACAGCTTCTACTCACAAAGATCACAAGAAAATATGAAATAAAGATTTATAAATAAATAATTACAATACAGTGTGAGAAGTACAATGACAGATATAGGAACATAGAGTATAATAAGAGGAAGAGCACCTAACCTGTTCAGCATTGTTAATGTAGATGCAAATTAGAGATTTCAGTGCAAATATAAATAATTTACTCTGTTGCTTCAATATATGCAAAGAGTTCTGATCAGACCCAAGAAGGATTTAGTTAATATTCACATTTTCAAGTTTTAATAATTTAAATTTTCCTTAGCTGCACCTGAAAAAATCAGGTCAAATGTGCCTAGACTATAAATGTAGAAAAGCCTGATATACTATTTTCATCATCTAAGAATTTAAAAGTTAGGTTAGGAAGATAATATATAAACAGAGAAAAAATAGTAAGATAAGAATTAAAAGATAACATAAGATGACCATCATAAGATCACACAGCATAACACCAAAGCAAAGTGTCTATCACATGACCGAACTCCATAGCAATGAGTAAGAAGACAGGTATAGTGAAAAGAGCTCTGCATTATGAATTAAAAGATAAGGATTTCAAGTCTTGATTTGAAAAGTCAACTACTACTTGACAAGTCATTTTATCTAACGCTGATTTTCTCTGTCAATATAATGATGATGGATCCATGCTTCTCAGACTTTAATGTACATATGAATCACTTGAGGATCTTAACTAAAAATGGCAGTTCTGATTCAGTCATCTGTATTGGAGAGTCAGCACTTCTAAGATGCTCCAAGGTGTGCTGATGCTGCTGGTCTAAGAACCTATTTTGAGTAACAAGATACAAGATGATTTCTAAGATCTCTTTTCACTGTATGAGTCAGATTGGTGGAGCTGTGCATTCATAAGGAATTGAGCTAGAGCTGGACATTGAAGGAGAAGACTACTTGACAGAAAATTTTCAGGCAAAGGAAACAGCATGTCTGAAGGCACAGAGGCAGGACTATGTAGTAAGCACTTAATGAAAGCAGTGATCAGGCTACCTTGGCTTACACCAAAGATTCACGTATGGGAGAAATGAGAGGCTCTACGGGAACGGACACTCGATCATATCTGACCTTCCATTCATTTTGCAGTATGAATATACATATAGTCCAAAGCAAAGCAGATTTAATCTATGGCACCACCTAGAAAAAGGTACACATTTCTCAGCCTCCCTTTGGCCAAACATTGCCATGTGATAAATCCTTCCCAGTGGGATAGAAGAAAAAGAGGCTTATGTAATTTCTGGGAAATGTCCTTAAAAGGAAGTGGCATTTTTTTTTTCTCCTTCCTGCTGCTGGAATACAGATGTAATGACTGGTTCCAGCAACCACCTCAGACTATACTGACAAGAACTAAACCCAGGCATGGCAGAGTAGAACAGAAGGAGCCTCGGTCCCTGACAAATTGGGGAACTGCCTTACTATGCATGAACTCTGAAGCTCCAGACTTTGTGTGTGTGTTTAAGCCACTATTAATTTTAGTTTTGTTTCAGGCAGTAAAATTTAATTTTTTAATAGACTTTATTTATAATAGATTTTGGTTCACAGAAAAATTGAGCAGAAGATACAGAGATTTCCCATATTAAAATTTAATTTTAAATTATTCAGGAGCCACTGCAGTTTTGATATCTTATAGAACAAGAACAAATATCCTGATCATTAGCACTACCTAGATTTCCTAAATCCTGCTTTTCCTCTCTGTCTCACCTCTCTTTGTTTCTATTTTTGTTACTTTTTTTCAATATTTTATGTATTTATTTTTAGAGAGAGGGTAAGGGAGGGAGAAAGAGATGGAGAGAAACGCGGATGTGAGAGAGAAACATCAGTCAGTTACCTCTCACACACCCCCCAACCAGGGACCTGGCCTGCAACCCAGGCATTTGCCCAGACAGGAAATCAAACTGGCAACCTTTTGGCTTGCTGAACGATGCCCAAACCATTGAGTCACACCAGTCAGGGCTTTGTTACTTCTTTTTTAATATTCATTGCCTGATCAATCTTTTTTGTTTTATAGATTTCAATGCCAGGCACTCTTTTTTTTTTTTAAAGATTTTATTTATTTATTTTTAGAGAAAGGGGAAGGGAGGGAGAAAGAGGAAGAGTAACATGGATGTGAGAGAGAAACACGATGGTACATACCCCAACTGGGGACCAAACCAGCAACCCAGGCAATGTGCCTGACCAGGGATCAAACTGGCAACCTTTTGGTTTGCAGGACAACACTCAACCAACTGAGCCATACTGGTCAGGGCTGTTACTTCTTAATATTGATTCTAAGACGTCAATTCTTTTACTTTTACTAATTTGTTGGCATACTGTGTTTTAATAATATGGGCATTTTTCTGCCATGTGTTCCTAAAAAACCTTGTGTTCTACAAAATTGCACACTAAAAATGACAGGTCGTACAGGAAAATTAGATTCTGTAGTCAAAGCTATGCAACTTCCAAAAGAGCACTAACAAAAATAACAACTATCCTAATTTTTTTAAAAAGTCATCAGCATAGATAAAAAGACATGTTAAATTCCTAACAAATAAATACATATTAGAGTAAATCTAGGACTTTGAAAGAAAGGAAGATAGCTTGATGGACCAGCTAAAGGAAGGGTTGAGGCTGTTGAATTGCAGAGACAAAGGCAAAATGCAAAAAGACCTGGGAGAACGATTCAGTAAGCTTCTTAGCTTCTAGTACAGAACAAATGGCCAAATAGAGCAAGAGGAAGGATATATACCAATGTTGATATTTCCTACATCTCTGAGGCTTGCTGCATTCAGATAAATACGTTGAATGTAGGACATTGCACATATATTTATTTCCTTTATGCCATGCTGTGCCACTCTGTGGCTCTGTGCCTCTCCACCTCTCTCTGAGTCTCCACGCCTCCTACCCATATGGGTGAACATAGCTTCTTTAAATCCTTGGTTGTCAGACTACCATACAGCTTGATTTTCTGACAGTTCTGGGTGATATTTGTTTTGTAGTCTAGTTGTAATTTTTTCTGTTTAGTAGAAAAGAACAGGTTATAGGATACTAAGCACGTGAATACACTTTGGTTTAAAAATATTCAAAATAATTTTAAAAAGATATAATTTTAAAATTCATTTCTTGAGTTGTGGGGCTATCCTAATTTTTCTCTATATATGTTGGAATTTGATACTTTTTCTGCAGCGAATACATGCTATTTGTTCTTAAAGATATTTTAAAATAGGACTTACATAAAATCAGTAATTTTATGTCATAGGAAAACAGTCACAGGAACGGTGACTCAGATTAACTGTGAATTTGAAGAAATTGTTCCAAGTTCAAACCCAAACTCCCAAATTGAATTCGAGGAAGCCAGCTTACAAGCTCATAAGGACTACAGTGAAGTCTTTATGCCTATTAGCTGTTCAGAAAAATGGCCAGCATTTCAAGCACAGAACCGAGGTAAAACATTTATTTCCAGTGTTATAAAACTTTTTTTTACTAATATACAGATTTATTCCAGTGAATTTGTTTTATTAGATTTAATTTTTTTATTAAAGATATCCACCTACAAAGTTATAATTCTAAGCTTTGCCAAACTAGAGAAATATTTTCTCTTTTATATTAATCCCCTTATTGTAAGTTAGGTTTTTGGAGGTGAAGTGCGTCGGACATCAAAATAGCCTCACAGATTTGAGTACAGTTGCTCCCAGGATCTATGTACAGATCTGATAACACAGCAATCTGGTGTAACATTAAATTACTAGATTATTAAGTGATGCTTCTATTTCATTTTTGAAAATATCCTAAAACTTTTCAATTTTTTTCTCATTTATGTAAAACCATAATTCAAAGTAGAGATGGAATAATTTCAGTATTAGGTCAGGAAATTTGGCCAGTTTTTACAAATTTACTGTATGTAATAATTAAATATTTTATCCAAAATATATTCCAAATCTTTCGTACTAGTAGAGGGTGCTGAATTCTTACAACCTTATAAAAACTTGCTGAGAACTACCTTTCTTGTATGTATAATTGCCCAGTCCCTTTTTAAATGGAAAAAAAAAGAGAAATCTTAAGGCTCTGTTATATAATTGTTATTATTACTTAAGATATGCTATAGTTTGAGCATGAAAAATAAATTGGTTCTTTTACTGCTATTTTATGTAGATAATATATGTTGTGTATAAATTTTTAGTGTTGGCCAATAGGTGTGTAATTATATAGAGAGTTAAACCCCTCTTACAGTTTCAGAAGAGAAATAGAATGATTGCATTAAAGACTAAACTTCAGAGCATGATATAATAGGAGGAGCCTAAATTTGGAATTAGAAGGTTTTCATTGTCCAACTCCACCCTTAAAAAGTGGTACAAGTTTGTGACAGTTACCAAAAATTTCATCATTTTCAATTTTCTTCTATAATTTATGTCTTTTTATTTATTCTTCTAATTTCTTATAAAAATTTTATAGGGATTAAATAACATGTACATATAAAGAGATGGTTTGTAAATCAAAAAAAAAAACAGGCTACTCAAACATAGTTATTATTTTTAATGTGGCAAACTAGAAGTTACTGTTGGCAAATTTAATAATACCTATTGTCCACTTCCCCTAGAATCAGAATCTTCTTTGCTATTTGCTGAATGAAAATATGCTTGAGTTTCTCAACGCAACAGACTCATAGATACAGAGGACAAACTGATAGTTGCCAGATGGGAGGGAGGTTGGGGGGCTGTGTGGAAAAGGTGAAGGGATTAAGTACAAATTAGCAGTTACAAAAAAGTCATGGGGGTGTAAAGTATAGCATATTCGTATATTCCCATAGAGTCAATAATATTGACTATGTATGGTACCTTGTGGGTACTAGACTTATGGTGGGGAAGGATTATCTTGTAAGTTATATAAATGTCTAACCACTATGCTATACACATGAAACTAATATAATATTGAATGTCAGCTGTAATTGAAAAATAAACAAATATTTTTTAAATTCATATGAATTATTTATACCCTATATTCTCTTTGGATCCTATTTCATTAGATTTCCTTCTTGTTAATGTTGAACAATATTCCCTTGTGTATATACACACCACATTTTCTTTATTCATATCTGTCAACAGACACTTAGGTTGTTCCCATACCTTGGCCATTATGAATAATGCTGCAAGGGAACATGGGAGTACAGATATCTCTTTGAGATAGTGATTTCATTGGCCATCTGTTCCTCCCTTTGCAACATTTATATCTTTTTTTTTTTTTTGTCTCACTGTGTTGACTGGGACCTCCAGTACATTGTTCAATAGAAGTAATTATAGTTGCCATCCTTGTCTTGTTTCCTACAGTAAAAGAAATACTTCAATGTTTTGCCATTTAAAATGATGTAAATATCATTTCATTGTTTATGTCATTTTAAATGAATCGTTTTCAATGTTTACATCATTCTTAATGGTGAAATGTTACAGAATTTACTTTATTGGGTTGAGGAAGTTTCCTTTTGTTCTGAGTTTGCTGAGAGATTTTGATCATGAATGAGGATTGGCTTTTACTAATGTTTTTCTACAAATATTAAGATATCTACATCTTTATAGAATGTCCCTTTACAAAAATTTATAATCCTATAATCTAAACATAAATTGTTTTACTACTATGGTCATGCTGTATATGCATTACATTATTTTTAAATGTTAGCATTTTCTTGGGAACAATTCACCATATACTTAAGTTTTCTTCAAAAGCATGGTTTTTATTGACTGAAGTTATTTTTGTAGTGATAATTTTTTTCTTTTTTTAAAATTTTTATTGTATCGTTTTCCATTAATGACTGAAGTTTTTAATCTTATTTATGAATCATACATTTGAGAACACTAATGTTGTCTTTAATTTCAAATGTGTACATAAATGTATGTTTCATTTCCAATTATTTCTTTAAGGTGAATCCCTGGAAATGGAATTATTTGATATGTTTCTTTTTTTTGTTAGCTGTATGTTCACTAGCATGGTATGAGAATACCCTATTCACACCACCCTTGTAATCACTGGGTATATTACTATTGATGTTATAGTAATATATTTACATAATATCATTAAAAATACAATATTTTAACTAGCACTTTAAAAACCACTGGAGCTTAGTGGCCATTTGCATATTTTTATTTTGTGAAGTGATTCTCTCTTTTGTCTATTTTTCTATTCTTACATTTTATCTTTATATATCAAAAATATCAATAACCCCAAATATATTTACTTTGAACTTAACCAGTTCTGTCAATGTTTTCTTTTCCTTTATGGTTTCTTTCATTGCTTTTATACTTAGAAAATTCTTCTTTGAATTAGATGTTTATTCATGTTTTCTTTAAGATTTTGGTTTAAGTTTAAAAACAAGAATAAGAGGGGCAGCTCCAAAGACCCTAGAGGCAAGACATGACACAGGTGGCACATCTCAGCCATGGGGTCCCAGCATTCCATAGCTGCTTGCCCTTTTTCCTGCAAATGAAAGAAAAATGACAGGGAGGATATGCTGGATGAACAGGAGCAGGAAGAAGCCACTGCCCACTTCCCATATGTGGAGTTCACCAGGCGGGACAGCATCACCTGTCTCACGTGCCAAGGGGCAGTCTACGTTCCAATAGAGCAAGTACATGAGTTGGTGGCTTCAATCCCTCACAGTGATTAGAGATTGCGCCCTCAGAGAACTAAACAGTATGTTCTCGTGTCTGTCCTGCTCTGTCTCCTGGCATTTGGTTTGGTGGCTTTCTTCCTGTTTCCACATTCAGTCCTTGTGGATGATGACAGCATCAGAGTGATGCAAGTCACAGTTAATAATTGGGACTCCCTTGTAATCCTCTCCATCAAGGCCACCCTGAAAATCAGGAACTCCACCTTATACTCTGTGACAGTGACCAGCCTGCCCAGCCAAGTTCAGCACGTGAACACAGTGGTTGGGTCACTTGTGACAACTAACATTTCCCTCATTTCACCTCAAAGCAGGCAACTGGTTGATTTTACCATGCAGGCAGAGATGGCAGGACCATTTTCCTACGTGTACTTCTGCACATTACCTGATATCCATGTGTACAACATAGTGATCTTCATGAGAAATTCAGTGAAGATTTCCTACATTGGCTTACATGTCCGACAGTTCCTTGGAGACACATCACTACATGGACTGTGGAACAAATTCGTCAACTGTTTAGAAACTGTTTTTGGTCTTTCCACGGCAGCACCTCTCAGAAGAGACACAGCATCTGTTTCCAGGGCCTGAGTTCCATACGTGCCCCAGGTGGTGGAAGTGGAGGAGAAACTGGCTCGCTGAATCCCCAGCACACACCCTCCTGCCACTTGGAGGAAAACTCACCTCTCTAGCACCATTGATGTTTCTCCAAACCCACAGAACCGTTGCCCAGTACCCAGTATATGCCCAGCAAATAGTCAGCACTCAAGGTTGGAAGAATTTAATTCAGGTCTTGTCAGCTCTTCTCAGAGCATTATAATTTGGAAGCACTTTAAAAACTACTTTGAAAATTAGGTTATTTATGTTTATACACCAGAGTGACTTGGTGATAGGACTGTTAGGGAAGCTGCAGAACTATTATCAGGACCTCATCTGCCCAGATCAGGCAGCAGGGAGGGGGCGTTTAAATATATAAAAGGGAGCACAGACGATTCAACATCTGACATTTTCATCTCCCAAATGCCTAGTAACCTTTCTTTTTTTTAAAGAAGAACTTTTTTTTTCTTGTAGAAAGTTATAATTGTTTTTACTAAGAGTCTATGTGGAGCTTGATTTACCCATCATCTGTTGGGTGGAACATGGGTTGGGGATTTGGTAGAAAAATAAACCATGCTTTTAATTAAAAAATAAAAACAAGAATAAGAATAATAAATATTTTTCCAAATGTTTTGGCAATTGTCCCAATATCATTATGGAATAGATTTTTTTCTTTCCCCACTGATTAGAAATGCCACCTACCTCATATGCCAAATCCTTACTCCACCTTAGAGTTTTTTTCTGGATTTTCTATTATATTCTTTGATTTGCCTATAATTGTGTCAGTATCATCCAGTTTTAGCTGTCTAATATAATTATAACATGTATGAATAGTATCCTTTCTGTTATTTTTTCATACTCTCATATCTATAGTCTTCCAGGTTTACTTTATAATCAACTTTCTAAGTTCCAAAACAGACCTCTTGAGAAATTTAATGTTATTGGGGATTTCTTAGAATTTTTACTCTAGTTATTTTTTTTTAAGCGAGGAAAGGGTTTATCTTGCCTTTAAGTTTTTTAAAAAATTATCCTCATTAAATGGTACCTCCATGTATTTTTTGAACATTTTTATTATGTTTATTGCTCAATATTTGTATATTTGTAGTCATTATGAGTTTTTCCATTTTTTTAAACTAAGTTTATATATATATATATTTGAAACCATTTTCATGATTATAAAATGATTTTATAACTTTGACTGACATGTTAATGAACTTGTTTTTATTTAGTTATCTTGGTTTTTTTTAGGTAGACAAAAGTATCTTCTGCAAAAAATAAACCTATCTTCTTTCCTATTAGTAGACCTTTTTTTTTCTGCTTCTTTTCTTAGTTAACTTCAAAATTTTTTGCCTTAAAACAGTTTAACATTCCTCTACAATAGAGGAAAATAGCCTTCTCACATTTGTGTTGGTACATATAATAGAAGGAATAAAGTAAGAGCTCTAGGGAATGCTGTATAGCCATAAGAATATAAGGAAGTAGATTTCCTTTGCTGTGCAATAACTTTTTTAGTTTGATGTAGTCCCTTTTTTTTTTTCTTTTGTTTCCCTTGCCTGGGGAGATATATCAGATTAAAAAAATTATTCGGAGCAATGTCCAAGATTTTGCTGTCTATGTTTTCTTCTAGGGTTTTTATGGTTTCAGGTCTAAATTTAAGTCTTTGAATTTATTCTTGTGTGTGGTGTAAGAAGGTGGTCTAGTTTCATTTTTCTGCATGTATCTGTCTAATTTTCCCAACAGCATTTATTGAATAAACTATCTTTAGCCCATTGTATATGCTTACTTCCTCTGTTGAATATTAATTGACTATAAAGGTGTGGGTTTATTTCTGGGCCCTGTATTCTGTTCCATTGATCTATGTGTCTGTTTTTATGCCAGTACCAGGCTGTTTTGATTACTATGGACTTGTAGTATAGTTTGATGTTAGGTAACATGATTCCTCCAACTTTGTTCTTCTTTCTCAGGGTCACTGTTGCTATGCAGGGCCTTTTGTGGTTCCATATAAATTTTTGAAATATTTGTTCTAGTTCTGTGAAATATGCCATTGGAATTTTGATAGGAATTGCGTGCAACCTATAGATTGCTTTGGGTAGCATGGCCATTTTAATTATGTTAATTCTTCCCATCCATGAACCTGGTATGTGCTTCCACTTATTTGTATCTTCTTCAATTTCCTCAGTGTCTTATAATTTTCTCAGTACAAGTCTTACATCCTTGGTTAGGTTTATTCCTAGGTATTTTATTCTTTTTGAAGCAATTGTGAATGGTATTGTCTTCTTAATTTCCCTTTCTATTAGTTTGTTATTGGCATATAAAAATGCAAGTGATTTCTGGATATTAATTTTGTATCCTGTTACTTTGCTGAATTTATTTATCAGTTCTAGTAGTTTCTTGTCAACCCACAGAATGTGAGAACATATATACCAATACATCTGATAAGGGGTTAATATCCAAAATTTATAATGTACTTACAAAACTCAACACCAAAAAAAAAAAAATTAAAAAATGGGAAAAGGACCTGAATAGACTCTTCTCCAAGGAGGACATGGAGATGGCCAATAGACATATGAAAAGATACTCAACATCACTAATCATTAGAGAAAAGCAAATTAAAACCACAATGAGATACCATTTCACACCTGTCAGAATGAGTATCAATAATAAACCAACAAACAACAAGTGCTGATGAGGATGTGGAGAAAGGGAAATCCTTTTGCGCTGTTTGTGGGAATGCAGATTGGTGCAGCCACTGTGGAAAGCAGTGTGAAGATACCTTAAAAAATTAAAAATGTATCTGCCTTTCGACCCAGTGATCCCACCTCTGGGAATATATCCAAAGGAACCCAAAACACAAATTCAAAAGAACATAAGGACCCCTATGTTCATTGTAGTGTTATTTACAATCACCAAGATATGGTAGCAGCCCAAGTATCCATTAATAAATGAGTGGATAAAACAACTATAAGACATATACACAATGGAATACTACTTGGCCATAGAAAAGAAGAAAGTTTTAGCCTTTGTGACAGTAGGATTGGATGGACCTGGAGAACACTATGCTAAGTAAAATAAGCCAGTCAGAGAAATATAAATACCATATGATTTCATTCATATGTGGAATCTAGTGAACAAGATAACTAATAAGGAAAATGGGGACAGGCTCATAGAGAAGAGGATGACGGCTCAGGGGGCAGGGAGGTTTAGGGGATGGAGGGATTGAACAAAAAGGAAAAAGGACTCACTGACATGGACAACAGTGTGGTGATTGCTGAAGGGAGGAGGGCATAAGGGGCCTCAAAGGTAATGGAAAAAATACAAAAAAGATTAAATTTTAAAAAAGAATATAAGGAAGTAGTATCCTTGGTTAAAAAACAAACAAAAAAAAAACCTACCTTTGTAATGCTATAAAGAACATTAATTGTGGTGTTATGCTGCCATCTAATGGCTTAATCTAAAAAGGGTGGTTGGGAAATAAGAATGTCCTCGTGAACTCCCAGTAACAATACCAGGATGAGCCTGTAGGAAAGGGAGATGGCCAGTGGGTCTGTGTTTAAAAATGAAATGTGAAATTGGGGATATAAACAACTGCTGTTTGGGTTTTTACTACTAATACAACTTAATTAATATTTACAGAATGGATATACGAATAAACCATCTTTAAATTTTCTCAGATATGCCCTGTTTAGATATGGAACTGATGGCTAGTTTTCTTCAAGTATAAGGGTGACAAGATTGTCAGGAACTTAATAGGTTCAGATAAACGATCTCTTAGGAGGCTAGTTTATATAACAAGCTCTCTTTTGACACTTCAAGCTAGCAGCAGGCACAGGGATGGTTCCCGGTGCTTAAGTAAGTGTATACATACCGATGATGTAGTTGCTCACGGGAGGCATCACTCGATGCTATCCCTCTCTCATACCACTCTAATATTACCTATACTTAACTGAAATACTACTGCCCAGAACAAGAGACCATTGCTCCCTGTCAAGGTGCCTTTTGCTTTGGGGAGCTTGGCTTTCTGATTAGTCGAAGAATGGGTCTGGTTTTATGTTTCTTCCCTTGGTTCAGAAACTTAAAGCCCTGATACAATTAGCTAAGATTCTAAAGTGACATGGTAGTATGGGGATAGGGAGGAGAAATTTATGCCAGGAATTAACTGTTATCGGTAGTGTTTCCTAATATATAAGGTATATCACATTTTTAAGTAGATACTTTGTTCTATAACTTTCATTGTATCTAATTTTAAAGCAATATGTTTAAATAACTTTAGAGCACTAGAATCAAAGTTGGTCTCACTTGTAGGCTTTGCAGACCATCTCCATTCCCTATGTCAGAGTCTCTGGGGATGAATTAGAGACCTTAGGAGGCAAAGTGTTGCAGAGAAGAAAAGCCTACAGTCATCAAAAGTCAACTGCTATTTTCTTTACAGTTTGTTTAGGCTACTCTTGGCTATTTTGATGCATAAGGCCACAAGAGATTTCCCACTGATTAAATTAATTTTCTTTAGAAAAATTAAGAGTCATCATAAGTCTTTCAGGATACTTAGTTACTACTCGATGTACTAAATGATATTAAATTTTTTTAACTTTTGTCTGTTTATCACTACTGTGCTTCATGCTTTATATGTACAGTACAATGAAGAATTAAAGAATTTAAAAATGTTTGTAAACCCCAATTTTATCTAAATGGCTCACTAAAGTAACTGTCTAGATCCTTTTGTATAACTTTCAGACTTTTTTTATGTCTTATTTCTTTTCAGATTTGTTTATTGATCATGAAGATATACTTTTTGCAAGTAATTCGATGATCTGTAAAAGTCATCTACCAACATTGCATACTCTGTTGAGTAGACTAAAACTGTTTTTGCTGGAAGACCCCCTTTTAGACTTCAAAGAGCAGATCTTCACAGAAGTTAATTTTTTCAGGTACTTAATTGCCCAATGTTATAAATATTTTAAAAGAAGAAAATATTCTTCATATGCTCACAAGTCTAGATATTACCAATAACAATATCTTATCATTACCTCAACTCTAATTTAATTATTATGTATTTTTATTGGCTGCATTTAGTATATAAGTTGCTAGTAGTAAACACTAACTTAATGTTTTATTTTTTGTCAAGGGAATGTTTCTCTTTTCAAGGAGATTTGAAAGATCTTATGACAGAAGATTTTTACATGGATAAAGAGAACTTTTGTCAGGAGAAGCTAGAAGATATAGTAGGTTTAAATGAAACTGTAGTACTTGCTTTCAGTAATGTTTGTAAAAGTAGTTAAGCATACTTTAAAATTTTTAATAATATACCTTGACTTGATAATGGATTAAATACATGTCAACTAAGAAATCAAATTTACTTCTAAGATCCAAACCTTGGCAATACATTGGAATTACTGGGGTAATTTTAATATACTGAAGCCTGTGTTCTACCCAGATACATTCTGATTTAATCGGTCTGGTGTGGAGCCCAGTTATAGGGAATTTTAAAACTTCTCCCAATGATTTTAAGTGTTAAACCTGGTATAGGGCATTCAACGATCATGTTCTAATTTAAAAATTGGAGAATGGAGCTAAAAATGGTGATTTATGAGCTACGCAGAACAGATACTACTTGAACTATATACTTGAACTGTAAGAGAAATGATTTCATTGAAGAAGTAAGAATAAGTATGTTCTGGGCATGCATTTCAGGTGCTACCAGTGATTAATAAGGAAGATAGAATCTTTGCACATTGAAGATCAGTCTTTTCGAAGGCAGCCCCTCTTTTTTAGCATACAGTTCCAATGGCACACAAAAGTGTTTTATGATGTTAGAATTGCATGTAAAAAATTCTAGCAGTTGAGAATATGAATAACTTTTCACAGTAATAAGCTCAAAAACCTAGACCCATGTAGATTAGATGCATTACAAAATTACTTTAAACATTTTTTGAGAACTGCAAGTGTTTTATATTTGGTACTTCTCTTAAAATATTCAATGGAGAGATATAGATTAGATATAGATACAGATAAAGATAAACATATAGATATAGAAGTCTTAAGGCATTTAAAGGGTTTCCTTATAATTAAAATTTTTACCATATGTAGTAAAAAATATTAATTCCCCCAGTAATCCCTTCCTCTAGTTCCCCTCTTGCTTGCCCATTAACTCTGGGAGTCAAGGAATTCAGTTCTGTAGAGATGAAAGGGAGACATTCCAGGGAGTGCAGTGAAAACCCACTCCATTCCATCTCCCCCTTTTCCCTTCCCCTCATTCCGCTACAGTGATTGTTTTTAACTTAGAATTTTAAAAATGTATTAGCCTAAAAGAAGATATTTCTGCATCTAGGGATATGGTATATCACTAATATAATCAGTGATCATAAAGGACATTACTCGGGACATTGTTCATTATATGGCAAAATATATTTTTTGCTGCTATACTTCTATTTTCTGAATGTATGGATAGCATTAACATTTTTGAGGGTGAGTTTAGTTTAAAATTTGGTACACAAATTAAGCAAATATATCTATTTATGAATGCAGAAATCTTTACTTGGAAAACCTAACTAAAAACTTTTTTAAATTATATATTATCTCAGCTATTACTTTTACCTGAATGTGAATTTATAGCTTCAACCTTCAAACAAGAAGTTAATATTCCATCACTTTTAGAACTGAAGGAGTCATTAAACTTAATGCCAGAAATAATAAATTTTGAAGATGAAAATGAAAACCTTTTCAAAAGAGGTGAGGACTAATTTAAAATTTTATTACTTATAAAAATATTTAATAATTTCTGTTACAAAAATTCTTGTTCATTAAACTTTTTTCTGAACCTTCAGATTTTTAAAGAGTGTTCTGTAGGTAATATGGTGAAATCTCAGAATTATTGACAAGACTCTTCTCATCTTTCTCTGTATATACTTACAGGCTTAAAATATCTCTGAAATTAATCTAACCATTTCAACACAAATAAAGCTAAGACAGTTAGGACTATACTAATTTTTTAGTTGTTTTATTATATAGAATGACAAAGTCTAACAACTTAAATGCTAACTTTAGTGAGGTATGGAGAAGCTCAGAGTAGGATGATGATTCATGGAACCAGAAGACTGGCAGAGTCATAACCAAAAACTTAGCTGGTTTCATTCCAGGTAGACTTAATAAATATTGTTGAACTCCTTTTAATGACAATTTGACTCCAAGTATTTAACTCCCTTTTTATAAATTGCAGTTGAAATGATGAAAGACACATAATACTAGGGGGGAGTGAAGGGGGATTTGTGATATCCACTGAGAACAGGGATACTTGCTATCTATAGAGCACAAACTTGAAGGAATTCTTGAATACAAGACTAAATCAAAGGAATTACTGATCAGCCTACAAATCAAAGCAAGGGAATAAAAAGCCAACCTGAGTAAGTGAATCAAATCTGCACTAAAACTTGAAAGTATAGCAGAGCTCAAAATTGCAGGATGGCCTTGGGCTTTTCAGCAGAACACAAATCTATGAATGCTAATGGAAAAGACAAGCAACTGCACTGGATGACTGGTATCACACTCCCAACCTTTACTTGGCTGTGATGGTGGCTAAGTAAAATAGAGTCGCTGTCACGGAGGAATGAACAAGATTACAAAACATCTAATACAATAGTACTTTGGCTGATAGTAGACTTTCTTCCTTTTCTTTTTAGATGTTATTACCAAGCATGGAATTGACATTGAGGATATGAAATGCAGCTCCACAGAAATTTTGGCCATTCAAAGCCAATACGAACCAGAGAGAAATAAACCAGGTAGAAATTTTGAATGAATCATTGAGTTTATTAGAGGTTACCTATATATGATGTAAAAATACAGTGCATTCACATACAAAGTCTACTATGAGACAGTTTTCATATTTAAAATTTGATTATTGTAATCCAAGTTGTCATATTTTTCTCTTATCTGTTCCTTTACCTTTGTACTATCACTAACTCATTAGCCTTCTAGCATCAAAACCAAATAGTATACAGAGAGAGTTACAAAGATTGAGGAAGAAAAATGGAGAAATAGCATTAATATTAAAATAGAAATCTTATTATAACTCAGTAAATAAAATTTTATATTTTATCTCAGAATAAGCAATCTTGCCTATCCTTTTTACATTTTGTAAATTTAACTTTTTAATCTCCCAAAGCAATCCCATCATTATTTTTAATGTTATAATTTTGTCGAATTTGGAATCTTAGAATCCTCTTTTGTTCCAGTATAATGCCAAATTGTGTTGTTTCTTAACTACGTTGATGATACTGCTATTTAGTTACATTTACAGCTGGATCACATGAATCATCTATTTGGAAGTTTAGTTCTTTAGTTATGAAAGTTGGTAGAAGCAAACTGACTATTTACGAATAAGTGAGGATCAGTTTGTCAAGCCCACCCTATAAATACATAACTCTGCTAGGCCACCCAGACTCCAAGCTTGTTAAGTATATCACTTCCACTGATACTGTTTACCTAACATCACTGATGTTTAGTATGGAGATTAAAATAGTACTATCCTCTAAGTACTGAAAACACAAGTTGTCAGAATTATAAGCATAATTACATAAAGCTCTTAGAATTTATCTCATATAGGAAACTCAGTAAAGTTTAGCACTGTATGGATTTTTTGAAAACCACCACTATCACAGTTGAGACACAGCGTGATGTATGTGCAATTCCTTATATAGATGGAAAAATAAAAGTTATTTTGTATTTCGAGTAACCCAAGTTTTTATTGAACATTTTTGTTGAACATAATGGCTGCTAACAAAAAGTTCTAAATGATACTTAATTTTATTCAATGTGTATGTAATATTGTGATTTTTAAAATTTTATATATTCTAGAAGAGTTAGAAGAAGAATTAGAAATGCCATTATCTCCTCTACACCTAACAAACCAACATTCTTCTGTGAATTCATTATGTACAGAACTTCAGACATTTCCATTTTCTCCCGTTTGTAAAATGTAAGTAAGGATTACATCTAGAACTCAAATTGCAATTCAGATCAAGCAGTCTTTAATTAAATATCTCCATGTAAAGGCAATTTCCAGGATACCTCTGTGAAAAAAAAATCTAAGAGATAGAACAGTGTCTATAGTAAGCAACTGGAGGGAATATATGAATATATATGTACATACTTGTTTTTATATGCATAGAATACCTTCAGGAGGACACAAAAGAATCGGGTAATGTTAGTTGTGTCTAGAAGGGAACTGAGCAACATGGAAATATGGGAGCTAGTAGTGACAGAACCGGGCTCTTTTATAACTTTAGTATTTTGAATGTGAATATGTTACCATTAAAAATAAACAGCTTGAAAAATTTAAAAGATTCTGGCATTGGAACAGTCTGCTTAGGATATCGCCACCGGACCCTTGTCAATGGTGCTGCCTCTATTTGGCACTCACTGCCACGAAAGACAGTGTAGAGGTGTGCTAATTTGCTAGGGCTTCCATAACAAATACCATGCCTTAAATACCCAGTTTATGGTAAATAAATTTAATTTTGTTGCTTCACAGTTGGGGCCAGAAGGCCAAGATCAAGAAACTGGCAGAGATGGATTTATTCTGAAACCCCTCTCCTTTGCTGTCTTCTCATGGTCTTTTCTCCATGGATGTCTGTGTCCTAATTCCTTCTTCTTACAAGGACACTAGTCCTTTTGGATAAGGGCCCATCCTAACCACCCCATTTTAACTTAATTACTTCTTTAAAGGCCCTATTTCCAAATAGCCACATTCTGCAGTACTAAGAATTAGGGCTTCAATATATGAATTCTGGGCTACAATTCAGCTCATAGTAAGAAGTTAAGAGCCCGAAAATCTTAATTGCCCTGTACCTCAGTTTCCTTATCTGTAATATTGGATTAATAACATTTCCTACCTCATAGCATTGTTATGAGGCCTTCTAAAAGATGTGTCATAGCTTTCTGACAAGGAATAGCCAAGGATCACAGAGCTGTGTGGACAGTGGTGGACCAATAGATTTGGCTATCAACCTATTCCCCTAGGAGTATCAGGGATCACATCCTACCTCTAATAGCAGCCCACTGACCTTGTTTACCTCTGTCAGTGTGATATTGGTGTTGGGGGAACCAAACATGTAGCACCAAGTACTGATCCGTAAATCTGTTTAATACCACATTGTCACTACACAGAATGGTCTGTAGTCTCAGAACTGTTACAGTAGGATTGTACCATTGTGTTCTCGTTTGAGCCAAAATTGCATAGCTTAATAACCCAGCATCTTTGCCCTCTGATAGAGTCTGAGATAGCTTTGGTTGCTATCTTGTACCATGTGGCATATATGTAACTTAGTTTTCCAAGTTAGATTAGTTTGCTGTCCTCTAAAAAAGATACCCATTCCTCTGCTTCTTAGCCACTTACAAAACTAGGAAACATGACTAGTATAGTCACCTCTTCCTTACAGTAACACTGTAATTTAATGTGTCCTTAAATAGCACATTTTCAGGAAAAGTACAAAAAAATTACAAGCCTCTAACAAATTTTTTCCCAGAGTGGTCACAGGAGCAGCTATGTGCAGGGTTTTGAGTTCTTAGCCATGATTGGCTGATCTATCAAAAGAGAATGCTGTTCGGTTACTGGGAGCAATTCATCATGAGCTGCTCAGGCTCCTGTCAATGGCTTCAGGAAGGTGTCACAGCATAAAATGGAGGAGCCTGGCATTGAGGGTCCTAATCACCTTCATCTTCTGGCAAAGAATTATGTTGTTTGGGGGATATATCTGTGTTATAGAGAACTCTACCATGAATTAGAACTGGCTGTATCAAAATGAGCTCTAAAAAACAGCATGGAACAAGCATGGAAACCACCCAGAATTTGTCTAAAGACTGTGAGTCCCTTTGCTAAAATGGAAGATGTTTATTTGCTGGACCTATACTGTTGTTTTTAGTGCTCTTATACTTTTTTATTTACTCCACACACCCTGCTCCATCTGTTAAGGCAGATTTGCAAACTGAAACAGAAATAGCAGAAATTTGCATAATCTTGAATTTCAATCTGATATAAAAATTTTACTTGAACAATAATAAACTTTTAATCACACAAGTTATATATCTATTTATTATTCTCTCAAATATCTAATGAGAATTTATGAAACTTAAGTCTTATCTATGCATTAGGAATTACCAAATTTAGAAAAAGACTTAACTTAGCCAAGGTTCTAAGGATGTCTGAAACAATTGGAAGAAGTTGTCTCATCATTACTACATTCACTAACAAGTGGTAAATCACTTGAATTTGGTTTGTGAATGATAAAAAGTTAAAAATACCTATTTTAAAAATAGATTTATACCTCAACTGTTAAACTGAAAAAAAGTATTAAAATAAAAATACAACAGAAGGGAAGAGTAATATATAACATTGTTGTATTTTTAACTTGCTTTTATGGCCCCAATTACTTTTGTTTCAGAACACATTTTGACTGGAAATATACCCAGTTAACACATATTTTCAGTGCCTACCACATATGAAACTCTATGCTAAATTTTCTGGGGCTAAAATGAAAAGTCTGTATGACATAAGATTTTTTTTCCATACTAACTGATTACTTAATTGTGAATATATTTTTATATATGACCAAAGAAGACATCAAATTCAGAAAAAGTCTTCAGAAATTTCCGTTAAGAATGAGAATATCTATCTATATTATATCTGTTGGACATGGCCTGCCTAAATATTTCCCCTTCCGTTTACTTTAAAATAATCCCCTACAATCTGAGATGTCTATTTGCCAAAGACCTTGGTAAGGTTCAAGAATTGTCTAGATTCTCAAATTTTGCCACTGCATGCTAGATTTCTTGATTATGTGAGTAAATTGGATGGTTTAGACATAAACCTAGCTTTCTACCACCTAGGACTGTCAATTTAACTAGCAGTACTTATGACTAGTATGCTCATATATGTTTTATATGAACAGAGAAACAGATACAATTGACTCCCACTTAGGAAAGAGAGGGAGGTTTGGAGGCCTAGATTAAGGAGGTTGCGAATTAATGCTCACTTCCCTACCAAGGCTAACATCTTCATAATTCTTGATAGGCTGTAATTTACCTTGATTGTTTGCATAATTCTCCCTTCTCCCTTCAGTACCCCAAAATGCACAAACAGACACACATTGCATACTTACACACCCGTCAAGACTGAAAGACCTGAACTAAACTTTAGGACCTGTCACTTCCTTAGAAGAGAGAGCAGACAGAACGTTTTCATAGTTTCATCATCAGCCAGTAGAGACTCCAAAAGTTTGGTTTAGAATGAACTTGGGACAGCAATTATGTAAAAGTTTGTTTTGAAACTACTATTTTGTGTGGTAAGCAGAGTAATTTTACTTACACTGTATTTTTACTTTGAGTGACTTACAGGGTTGAAGCTAGCACAGTTGATGGAATATAGTGCTAAAACCCTCCCAAGTCAGACTCTTTTGGCTCCAGGTTCACTGAGGGAGATAGTGGTGGGAATAAGTTATAAACAAGCGGGAGCATTTAAAGAGCTGATAAATTGCCAAACCCTCCCAGGGGAGAAAGAAGTATTTGAAATTTGGTCTATGGAAGTCTCTGCCTCAGCTTACCCATTTATAAAATAGTTAATTTTTTACTTTACTTTTTAGTGTGAAAAATACTTTTCATAAAAGAAATTTTATTATGCAAAAAACTCAATATTATGAATGTTTTAATAAAATTACTTTTATTGAATTAACTTTTACTTTTTTCAGTAATTTGCTTACTGCTGAAAAATAAGCTGATTGCAGTATAGCAATCAGAAAGCATCAGAAGCTTTTGAACTCTTTTTTTTTTTTATTTTAGAGGGAGGGAAAAAGAAGGAGGAAGAGAGGGCGAGAAACAACGATGTGAGAGAGAAACATCGATAGACTGCCTTCTATACACACCCCGAGGGACCAAACCAGCAACCCAGCCATGTGCCCTGACCAGGAATGGAACCCACAACCCTTTGGTTCATAGGATGATGCCCAACCAACTGAGCCACACTGGCCAGGACTTGAACTCGTTTTTGCTTCCAGGTAAAGATTAATTGATTTTGAATGCTAAATAAAATGTACACACAAAAATGTACAATCAGTAGAAATATAATTGTCAGTTTCATTATGTTTATTATTACCATCATTATAAAAAACACAGCTCCAAAATTAGAATTTTAAAATTCATAGTCTTAATTTTGGGTTAATGCTTATAATGCAGATAATAATGTTAAACTGTCATACTAGTTCAGTTCCTCCATCCATTATGATTTGTCCCAATTTAGGCTGGAAGTATTAAAGCAGAAAGCTCTGTGCCAAAATAAGATGATAGTCATCATAAAATATGATCAAATATATCTTCTTGTTTAGGTTCATTATAATGAATTGGAATTTCTAATTTAATAAATCACATTAATTTTTCAAAATGTTATCAAATGTACTAATTGTAAATACTGAAATAGTCAAATAATAGTTCCATCTCCTAGTAATTATTAGAATAATTTTAACTCCATAATATTTCCACAGATTGAAATAAATCTTTTATGTGATTACTATTGCTGTAATATTTTGGATTTTTACAAATATTGGCTTCTTGAAGATGAAACACCAGATATAATTTTATTTCACTTTTTTTCTAATGTTTATTATATTTTTCATCTATTTTGCCCCGTGAACTGTTACAGACTATTTGTTTTGAGTCGTTATTGTTTTTTAAGTGCCAAGAATGAAGAGTCCAACAATCTATATTCAGTTACAGATTTGAAAAAGATATTTTCTTTTTTTAATTGCATTTTATTGATTATGCTATTAGAATTGTCCCCATTTTTTGCTTCTTTGCCCCCCTCCACCCAGGTCTGCCCCTCCCTCAGGCCATCCCCATACAGTTGTCCATGTCCATGGGTCACGTGTATATGTTCCTATGCTGTACTTCACATCCCCATGACTATTTTGTAACTACCAGTTTTTGCTTCTTAATCCCTTCACCTTTCTTCCCCATCCTCCCAACCCCCTTACTACCTGGCAACCATCAAAATGTTCTCTGTATCTATGATTCTGTGTCTGTTCTGCTTGTTTGTTTATTTTGGGGTTTTTTAAGTCCAATTGTTAATAGATATGTACTGTATATGTTACCATTTTGTTGTTCATATTTTTGATCTTCTTCTTAAAGAAGACCCTTTAACATTTCATATAATTATTGTTTGGTGGTGATGTATTCTTTTAGCTTTCTCTTGTCTGGGAAGCTCATTATCTGTCCTACGATTCTAAATGATAGCTTTGCAGGGTAAAATAATCATGGTTGTAGGTCCTTGCTTTTCATCACTTTGAGTATTTCTTGCCAACCACTTCCTGTCTGCAAAGTTTCTTTTGAGAAATCAGCTGACAGTCTTATGGGGGCTCCCTTCTAAGTAACTAACTGGTTTTCTCTTGCTGCTTTTAAGATTCTCTCTTTGTCTTTAACCTTTGGCATTTTAATTATGATGTGTCTTGGGGTAGGACTCTTTGGGTTCATCATGTTTGGTATTCTCTGCACTTCTTAGACTTGTATGTTTATTTTCTTCACCAAGTTAGGGAAATTATCTGACGTTTTGGGTTTTTTTTTAAATAGGTTTCTAATTTCTTGCCCTCTCTCTTCTCCTTCCAGCACCCCTATAATGCAAATATTGGTACACTTGAAGTTGTCCCAGAATCTTCTTAACCTGTCTTCATTTCTTTGGATTCTTTTTTCTTCTTGCTGTTCTGATTGGTTGTTTTTTGCTTTCTTATATTCCAAATTGCTGATTTGATTCTCAGCTTCATCCACTCTACTGTTGATTCCTTGTGAATTGTTCTTTATTTTCATTAGTGGATCCTTCATTTCTGACTGTTTCTTTTTTATGGTTTCCATGCACTTTTTGTGCTATTGAAGTTCTCACTAAGTTCACTGAGCATCCTTATAACTAGTGGTTTGAACTCTATATCTGATAGATTGCTTATCTCCATTTTGTTTACTTCTTTTTCTGGAGTCTGATCTGTTTTTTCATTTGGGCCATTTTGTCTCCTCATTTTGGCAGCTTCCCTATGTTTGTTTCTATGTATTAGAGCTACTGTGTCTCCTGGGGTTGGTAGAGTAGCCTAATGTTGTAGGTGTCCTGTAGGGTCCAGTGGCACAGCCTCTCCTATTGCCCAAGCTGGACACTCCAGATGCACCCAGTGTATGGGCTGTGTACATCTTCCTGTTGTAGTTGAGCCTTGATTGCTATGGGCACATGCTAGGTCAGCCACCACTTGTGTTCTGTCTGGGGTCACACAGCATAAGCTACAAAGCCATCTACAGATGGCTGCTACTTGCGCTAGGCTTGGAGGTGTCCAGGAGAGGCCAACATATGAACCAAGGCTGCTGCTGGTGCTGTGCCTAGGGTTGCCTAGCTAGAGTTATGGGGCTCACTGAGGCCAGAAGCTGCTTGTCTGAGAAAATCAGAACCATGGGCCAAGACAAGCCATTTGTAGGGAAAGTCACTGGAAACAGCTTGGGTGGGCCTGAAAGCTGATGGGGCAAGACCTCAGGGAATTACCAGGGTGGAACAAACAGTGTGACCAAGGCTGTTGGAGTCTCAGATATGGTGTTTGCCTGCTGGCTCCATGGCTCTTTTGGGGAGGACTCAGAAAAGGAACAGAAGTGCCTGTGCCAGCACTTCTGCCCAGGAGAAAACTCCCTCCAAGCTCTTGCCCTGATGCTAGACAATTCATTTTCTACCCATATATCTCTGATGTCTTTCAATCTGCTCCCCCATGCTGGAGTTCAGAGGTAGTGAGTCTGAATAAGTCTGTGCATGGACCCTTGAAGAGGAAATTCTGGGAACTCCAGAAATTTCTGTCTTCCACAGCTTCAATCCCTGCTGATTTTTATAGCTAGAAGTTATGGCAACTTCTCTTCCTGGCACTGGAACTTTAGGCTGGGGGTCCTGATATGAGGCTGGGTCCCTTCATTCCTTAGATATCCCTCCTGATTTGTATCTACCACACATGGGTAAGGGACCAGCCCGTTCTACATTTCTTCCCCTCCTACCAGTCATGATGTAGTTTCTTCTTTAATTCCCTAGTTGTAGGACTTCCATGCAGCTCAATTTCTGAAAGTTCTGAATGATGGTTGTTCTCCAGTTTAGTTGTAATTTTGATGTGATTGTGCGAGAGGGCAAGCCATGTTTACCTATGCCCCCATCTCGACCAAAAGTTCAGATATTTCCAATTGAAGAAAAAAGTCTTGGGGTTACTCCCATAAGCCCAGAGTGGTGGAAACAAGCAGGACTAAATCTGAGAGTGACAGGAACTCTGGAACATCTGACTACATATTTCTGTCATCATGATTTATCTTCTGATGATACTAAAATGAATATATTTTTGCCTATAAAAGTACCGAATCACAATGTAAGTACATAAAAGTAAATATCACTTGCATGAACATTTTCAGGATGAGACCATGTTAGATACTGGCTTTCCATTAGGTGATTGGAAATTATCATTAGGAAATCGCACTAAATTCTAGCATCAATGTTAGCTGAGGCCTGCCTCTGCCAGATTTTGTAACTTTGAGCTTCACTAAGCTCCATTTTCTTCCTTAAAGAAATGAGGAAATATAACTAGCTAATCCTAAATTCCATTTCTGTCTTAATTCTGCAGTCTCAGTTTTAGAATTTCTAGCCATTTTCAATTAGTGACTTTGTTCTCTTTTATAAATGATTAATTGCTTTCTCATTTTCTGTTACGTCAGCCTAGACACAAACAAGCACTGTTATTTTTCTGCCTGACAGCTAAACTTTTTTCAGTAGTATCTACTAATCTCTCTTTAACAAGAGAAAACCTTCCTTTGCTGCCAAAAGTTTACTCATTTAGCATTTTTTTTTACTTATACAATTTAAGAAGGCAAAAATGTCTTCTGAGTACCAATCTTTTGAATTATTTTGGCTGCTAAATATGACACTATAGTAAATGGAACATCTTTAGCCTGAATTGTTATCTTTTATAAGTACAGTGTTTTAAAATGTTTGTGCAATAGTTACCAAATTCAAATCATTAAATAGTTGGGAAATTTTACTTTTAGTTTATTATAGAGTAAATAGAGATATTTAAAAGCAAATTTTAGAAATTATTGTGAATATTGGGAGACCGCTATAAGGATATAAGAACTAGGGTAAGAATTGTTATCAGCAAGAGATTTTTCAAAGACAGAAACATCCCTTTGGATATAGTAGGACAAAGGAAAAACAGACTGTATCAAGCAGATGCATACCAGTCTATCCAAGGCCTATATGGTTACCCCTGGTAGAAGAAATTTAAAAGAGATTATGTCAGGCCCTGGCCAGGTGGTTCAATTGGTTGGAGCATTATCCTGTACACCAAAAGCTTGTGGATTCAAATCCCATTTAAGGCACATACCTAGATTGCAGGTTGGGGTACATATGGAAGTCAGCTGATCAGTGTTTCCCACATTGACGATTCTCTCCCTCTCTCCTCCTCTCTCCCCACCTTCCTCTCTCTCTAAATTCAATAAAAACATATCCTCAGGTGAGGATTTAAAAAATGAAAAGAGAGATTAGGTCAGATTACTAGACAAAGAAAAGGGAAAGGAAGATTTTATGGGGTCTTCAAATATCGAGAGTAATGTATTAACTCTATAAAATAATGTAAAGTCTTTATTATGCTATGTATCTATTTTAAATTAAAATAAGACACATAGTTTACCTTTATTTCCAATAATGTTATGATGTTACTATAATTGGATATTTAAAAAGTAAAAACTGTAGTAGGAGCCCATGGCCAAGTTGTCATGGTTGGAGTGGTTAAAGAGAAAATAGTAGAGGAAAATAATTAGAAAAAGGAAATAATAAAAAGTTTCTATTTACCTGATAAACATACCTAGATATCTCTAGAAAATAGCTGAGGTTGCAAATTGGTAGCATTCAGGTTCTGTTTAGCCTACATATTATTGACCCACATGGTGTTTTCATTAGTTACCAACATAAAAAATTTGGAAGGTTGCTCATAAATGATCTGTATTTTATAATTTTCTTTAGGATTCCAAACACCAGACTCAGATTTTTATATGGCAACAATTGGCTGGGGCCAATAGCAGCTCACCATTTTAGACCACATACCCTCCAGTGCACCACACTTCTCTGCACTCACAAATTGAGGCCAGCTGTTAGTTGGCATTACTCATTACATTCAGCATTACTCTTGCACTTTGATCTTACATTTAGTATAGTTAAGAGGAAAGTAAAGTGTTTCTTACACCCATATATCTAATAAAAGGAAAAACAAAAACAAAAATTTCTAGACCATGTTTTAGAGGGAAAATACAAAATTTATCTTCCCAAAGATTATGATTTAAGCACCAGCCATATACTTTACTAATTTATATTACTTAGCATTTTTCAAATAAACTTTATGAGGTATAATCTATATATAATAAAATGCACCTGTTCTAACAGTACAGTTTGATGGCTTTTGTGAAATGTGTATTCCAGTTAAACTACCAGCACAAATAAGATACAGAATATTTCTAACACCAAAAAGTTCCCTTGTTCCTTTTCATTCTGCATTCTCCATTCATCTTACCCTTCTCCCCTACCAGTTTTCACCCCGATGCCAGCCAGTTAAGCACTGATATTTCTGTCACTATATATTAGTTTTTCTTGTTACAGAATTTCATACATTGAATCATGCAGTACGAATTCTTTTGTACCCAGCTGCTTTTACTCAGCATAACATTTTGAGATTCACTCACAGTGTCGTGTGTATAACTAGTTCATTTCTTTTAATTACTGATGAATTTTTCATTATATGGATATACAATACCAAGGTTTATTTATCAATTCTTCTGAATTTTCCCCCCAGTTTTTACTATTATGAATAAAACTGCTATGAATATTCTTGTACAAATCTTTCCATGGGCATATGTTATCATTTCTCTTGAGTGATTATTTAGGGGTAAAACTGTGGGATCTTATGGTAGGTGTATGTTTAACTTTACAAGAAATTGTTAAATTGTTTTCCAAGGTGGTTTCATCATTGTACATTAACAACAACATGTGAGGGTTCCAGTTACTCTCTATCCTTGCCAACCCTTGGTATCAACAGTCTTAGATTTTAGCCATTCTAATGGATGTGTTGTAGTATCTCATTGTGTTTTCTATTAAGATTTTATGTATTTATTTTTAGAGAGGGGAAGGGAGGGAGAAAGAGGAGGAGAGAAACATCAATGTGTGGTTGCCTCTCAAGCGCCCCCTACTGGGGACCTGGCCTGCAACCCAGGCATGTGCCCTGACTGGGGATAGAACCAGCAACCCTTTGATTCTCAGGCCAGCTCTCAATCCACTGAGCCTCACCAGCCAGGGCCCATTGTGGTTTTAGTCGGTGCTTTCCTGATGCCTAATGATGATGAACATCTTTTTACATGCTCATTGGTATATCTTTTATAGATATAGATATCTTTTCAATAAAAAGCTTTATTGAAATGTACCATATGATTCACCCATTTAAAGTATACCAATCAATGGTTTTTAGTATATTCACAGAGTTGTTATCATCACCACAAACAACTGTAGAACATTTATACCAACACCAAAAAGAAATCATGTACCGATTAGCAGTAACTCCCTCATTTTTCTCAGATATGGAATCACTAATCCATTCTCTGTATCTATAGATTTGCTTATTTTGGACATTTCATTTAACTGGAATCATAATATGTGATCTTTTGTGACTGGCTTCTTTCATTTAGCATGTTTTCAGGATTCATCCATGTTGCAGCATGTGCATATCTTATATCAAGTATTGTTCAAATATTTTGTCACATTGTTAATGGTTTTATTTTGAAGTTAAGTTATAAGAGTTCTTCATATATTTTAGACACAGTCCTTTTCAAGTGTATGTATTGCAAGTATTTTCTTTTGGCCTATGGCTTACTTGTTATGTAAGTTTTTGACTCTTAGAGTAACTGCTACCTACATCCAAGGCTGTAACTTATTATAAGTCTTCTAGCAATAGGGCTTTTCTGAATTCTTTGTTGCTTAGTAACCTAGCTTCAGTAGTAGTAGTAGTAGTAGTAGTAGTAGTAGTAGCAGAGAGAGATATATGCTGGATTTTTATCCTTTAAAAAACTTTTTTTATTCAGACCAAAATCTAATTTGCAAAGCAGTAAACAAAGTACTCCTAAGGATCAAATTATGTTAATAATTTGTTATCCTAATACCTTAGTAGAATACTCATTTAGGCATGGAAGTCATTTAGATATTTTTATTTTCTGTTTTCAGCATGGCTAGATCATGAAAGTTGTTCCTCATCTAATGCATTTATTGATGAGGATTCTACAAGTAATAATTTAGCATTGCTACAGAAAAGTCCATCTCTGGCAAAAGAAGTACCAGACCTATGTTTTTCTGATGAATATATCTCTGCTAAAAGTCCAACAAAAGAAGAAAAACCAAAGGATGATCAAGAACTAGTTTATAGAATAATCCAAAATAAAGAAAATAAAGGTTGCTTGGAACCTGATTGCACAATACTATCCATTGGATCACCTTCTTCAAAAATTGTAAAAGCTTCTTTTAAACGTGGTAAAAAACGGGAAAATGACTTGGACCTTTTGAACGACTTTATTATGATGCGAAATAAACATAAAACTTGCATCTCAAACACTGAAGACACAGATAGTGATGAAAAAGATGGTGGGTAATTTAATAATATTTTGGCATAGATATGATAGCTTTGAGGACTAAATGTATAATTTATTATAGATGATAAAAGAAATAAAGTTCTTCCAGATAGAATATATTTCAAAGTCAAAGAAAATGTCATTGATTCATGATATTTATTATGCATAGAGAAAGATATGGACATAGAATAGATGTAGATATACACTTAAAAAAAATTTTTCAAATTGCATTTGAACTTGTAAGAAAAGTCCCCAATTGTAAAACTCACTTTCTACAACTTGGCCATACAGATTCATAATATTTCAAACTTTTTTTATTATTCTGCCATTTTTTTCTCTTTTAGCTGACAGTTCTATCTCAGTATTTTAACTTATATTTTAATGTATACTTAAGTATATGTTGCCCAAATGATTGCTTAGTAGCATTTTTTTAACTTTACCAAAGACTTTCTGTTTGAGTTATAACGGTTTTACATTCTGCTTATAACCATATCAAAGGTAGTGTAATGCCATATCATTTTACTTCTGTTTAAAAATTGGTATTCTAGAATGATATACCCAGAGGAAATAACTATAAAAATATGTGTAAGAGAGCATATTTAAGTCTTACTGTTCTATATACTATTAATGTACACAAAATCTTGTCCCTTCGTTGATTATAAAATAAGACAAGAAGTAAAATATATACCAAAATATCACCTCTATTACTAATGAAGGCACAGGCAGAAAAAGGAACTTAGTTTGAGAGTCAAATGGCTTGCTAACTAAACACCAGAATTGGGCAGGTTTACCTACCCAGTCCCAAACTCTGTTGGACTGGGACAGGATTCTTCATGCGGGGGGGCAGGGGGGTGGAGGGACTGCTTGGGAAAGATTCATGACAGAGAGAGATGAAGATATGTGGAAAGTCACAGAGCAATGAAGTGAAGTAGAACAGTACATATTATTTTAGGTGTTGAGAACTGTACTTAGTGTTTAATGCTTACAACAGTATTCAAAGTAGGTATATTCACCCATATTTTACATATGAGGAAACTGAAGCTGGTATCAGACTGAGATTGAAACACTGGTGTGATGTCAAAGTTCTTTCCATTATTACCATTCAGCTTTCTACCCAGCTCAGTGTTAGGTCCATTGACCCAAAAAGTTCAGTTTAATACTGATGTGTTTCAAAGAACTTTAACAATGTTGATCACAGTAGAAAAAAGCATTTAAGTAGAGCAACATTAAGTTTCTTCTGAACAATGCAAGTTAATATTTCTATTAGAATTTCAAGATAAAGAAGAAGATTCTTTGACTCTTCAAGAAGAAAGTCCTATTGTTTGTACTAATAAAACTCTAGAGAAAATAAATCAGGCAAGAGGAACAGATAATGTCATTGAGGTTCAAGCATCAGGTATGCTACATGCTTTTTTAAATCACTTTTTTATTGTTATTTTATTACAGGTGTCCCAATTTTCCTTGCTTTGTCCTCCTCCGTCCATCCCACCCCTTGCTCCCACAGTCAATTCCCACACTGTTGTCCATGTCTGTGCATCATTTGTATGTATTCTTTGTCTAGTCCCTTCCCCTTCTTCTCACCATTATCCTCCTCCTTCCTCCCCTCTGGTCCCTTTCAGTTTGTTCCATGTTTCCATGCCTGTGGTTCTATTTTTTTTGTTGTTGTTGTTAGTTTATTTTGATTCCTCTCATAGGTGAGATCATATGGTCTCACCACCTGGCTTATTTCACTTAGTATAATAGTCTCCAGTTCTATCCATGCTGTCTTGAAGGGTAGGAGTTCTTTCTTTCTGCTTCATAGTATTTCATTGTATAAATGTACCACTGTTTTTTTATCTACTCATTTACTGATGGGCACTTAGGTTGTTTCCAACACTTGGCTATATATAGATAAGTGGAACAGAATAGAGAACCCAGAAATAAACCCAAGTCTCTATGGTCAATTAATATTTGACAAGGGATCATAAGCATACAATGGAGTAAAGATAGCCTGTTCAATAAATAGTGTTGGGAGAACTGGAGTAGTATGTGTGAAAGGAAGGAAGGGAGGGAGGGAGGGAGGGAAGAAGAAAGAAAGAGAGAGAAGGAAGGAAGGGAAGGAAGGGAGGGAGGGAGGGAGGGACTGGGAGGAAGAAAGAGAGAGAGAGAAAGAAGGGAGGGAGTGAGGAACTAGACCACCAACTTATACCATACACCAGAATAAACTCAAAATGGATAAAAGACTTAAGTTGTGACATTATATGCTCTTATGATACACTCAAATTAGGAAAATTTGAAAGCTCTTCCCTGGGTATCTATACTATACCTCATTTTCCATGTAACTTTCTTTACTTGTTTCAGATATTTCTTTATTCCACTTCTACTTTCAAATTATTTCCAAACCCGGAACGCCCTATTCACTGCCTCTGCCTTCGCCTTTGCTCTACTCCAGTCTACTAAGTGTTATTTCTTCTTTTAAACTGCTGCTTCCCTACATTAAAACAGAGAACAGCAAACAACTCAAGCTCTTGTGCCCAGTCTAGAAAGTGATCTGCTAATGGTTGCTTTTTTTATTCCCTCACCCCCTATCAGGGTGTTGTAAATAAGCTATTATTGATTCCTCTGCTGATTAAACTTTTTTTTCGGTTGTAAAGAAGAGTTTTTTTGACTCCTAAAGAACAGCCTGCCAAAGAACATCATGCTGATTATTAAAGTCAGTAAGAAAATATGATACTAGTTCTTGAATATTTTTTCATTCCTTTGGTTCAGTTTTACTTATGGCCTTCAGGTGATTATGCAAGTCTTTAAAAATTGATATTCTGGTGAAAATCAGAAACAGTTTGTTGTTATAAATTTGTTTGATTTATGGTTGTAAGCTAATAGTTGAGAGGAAAGAAAAAATAGTACAGTTCTCTTTGTATGGCTCTTCATAGTTGTCATGTTGTTAGTTACTGAATAAATGCTTTCTAATAAGTAAGATTGCCATACAATTATACTAATTCTACAGGGAAAGCGTTTTGTTTTTATTAGTTTATTCAGCATAAATATCTTAAAATACCTTCTATACAATCTTATGTATAATATCATGATTTTTAACTCAGTAAAGAATTTAGATAGAATTCAGGTTTCCATGAAGTGACATGTTAAATTGGTTTGCCAAAAAGAGCACACAATCTTTATAAAAACACTGCCTTTAATGCTTTTATTTTTTTCAGAGAGCCAGTGCCAAGCATACTGTCTCCTAGAAGCAGCAGCTACTCCTATCTTAAAAAAACTTGGATGCCTCTGTCCTCTCCCTGTTGCTAATTGGAAATTTGCCACTGTTATTTTTGACCAAACAAGATTCCTCTTAAAGGAACAAGAAAAATTAGTAAGTGATGCTACTCATCAAGGTGAGTGCAAATAAATTTACATTATTGAAAAGAATATACATTTATGGATTATGTATCAAATTAGTAAAAATATAGAATATGCAGAAATTAGTCATGGATGAAGGAAGCATATGGCACCCATACACCAAAACTGGAGAATCAGCTAAGTAGGGAGTAAAGGGTAAGAAATGTCATCCGGTGTTGCTTTTTAGTGAAGCTCCATTGACATGTACAGGGTGGGGCAAAAGTAGGTTCACAGTTGTTTGTATGGAAAATAATATAATAATTAATAACTATTAATACAAAAATAAACTCTGTGTTTCATGTACTCAGAATTATAAACCTGCTTTTGCACTACACTGTATTACCTGACAGATTTATATTTCAGAAACCCAATTAACCCTATTAATGGTAACATCTGAACCACCTAGTTTCCTTTTAAAGAAAGGAGGCACGTAAAAAATATATATATTTTTTTTTTGGCAAAAATATATAATGACAAAGACAATATACATGACACTAGACATGTAAGGGCCTAGACATCAAGCAATGAAGAACAAGGATTCCTGAAAACAAGTGAGGTGAATCCTACCATTGCTCTAGCAAACTGCCTTGGAAGAGTTGCCAGGCCATGACACAGATACCTGAGCAGAGCCCACTGGACAATCTGAGTTAAGGAAACAGTATGGGAAAGTCAGGTAGACCAAGGCAGGTAGAGTTAAAAGGATAGAATATTAGAGCAGAGAGCTTCACACAGAGAGTCCTGGAGATCTACAGAGAGTCTCCTGTATCCCTGTAGTATTCAGCAGAATATGTATCACAGAGTATCTGCAACGCTGGGGAACTCCCTGACATTGCAAAAACAAAGCCATCTGAAAAGATTGATGGAATTGTACTCTGCATTCACACAGGGCAAAGAATATACCACCAGCTAGTCTAGAAAAACTCATATGTTGTGGGGTATTAAGTACAGTATTTAGGAAAGTTTTACCTCAGTAGTGGGGAATAATTATCTCTAGGGTTGGCATTGCTCTGGATCTACCTAACAAATTATAAAAGCAAGACCCAAGGGATCAAACTATTTCCAAGGAGCTTAACTGCATCTCAGAAAGATGAAGAGGATTTATATAAATACCAAAATATGTAGCACTCAAAAAGGTAAAATTCACAGTGTCTGACATTCAATCAAAGATAATCAAGCATAGTAAGAGACAGGAAAACACAGCTCATAATGAGATTAATCAATCAAAACAAACTCAGAACTGACAAAAAAAATGTTAACATCACCAGAGTAAGACACTGAAATTTATCATAACTATATCCCATATCAAACTTCTAGAGACTTATACAGTACAGTGTATAAGATGAAAAATGCCCTGGATGGAGCTAATGGCAGATTAAATATTGCAGAAGGAAATATTAGTTCACTTGAAGGTATAGCAATAGAGAAACCCAAATAAAACACAGGCAGATAAAACAATTTCAAAGAAGAAAAAAACAAAAGAGTGTCAGTGGACTGCAAAACAGTTTCAAATAGCCGAACATACTATCAATTACAGTTCTCAAATAAGAGGCAAAATGGGAGTAAACAGAAGAAAAATACTTGAAGAAATAATGACTAAAAGCTTTCCAAATTTCACTACAAACCCTCAGATCCAAGAAACTCAATGAGCCCTAAGCACAAGAAGCATAATAAAGCCACAGCAAGGTATATCATAATCAAATTGGTCAAAACTAGTAATAAATATAAAATTGTAAGAGCAGCCAGAGGAAAAAAAAGACATGTTAAATAAGAGATGACATCAGATTTCTTATCAGAAATAATGCAAGTGAAAAGACAGTGGAGTAACATCTTTAAAATAAGAAGAAAAAGACTATCGAGCAATTTTCTGTACTAGGCAAAAATACATTACAAAAACAAAGGTGAAAGAAAGATGTTTTCAGACATACAAAAGCTGAAAGAATTTGTCAGATGCAGACTTACACTGTAAGAAATATTCTCCTAAGGTTAGAAGAAAAATATCAAATCTGGTTTTTCTGTTCTGTTCTCATCCCATCCATGTGATGATGGACTTGTTTTCACAAGTCCTTCCCAGGGCTGGATATACTACCCACAATCAGTTCTTCTGTTGCCTTTTGATTACCAGTAGTTAACTACTACATATTTGCCTTGTCTTTATTGATTAGATCAGTAATTTTCAAATGTTTTAGCAGGACTATGCTCAAATAAATATTTCATTGGATCCCACTATATAAAACAGAGAAAAGTAGAGTTTCTCTGGTTAAATTGGGGCAGTGGGTCTAGAATCCTGTCTTCTTGCTATTATCATCAAAAGGCTCTGGAGCTACATGGACACATTAATTAGACAATTGGCCTGTCCCTGTGCATACATCTCTTATTTAAGTCATATCTTTAGACAAATATTCTCAGGGCTCCACCTCCATTTGAAGGTATTGCTTTCTTTTTAAAAAATATTTTTTAATTTGTAAATTATGTTTATTCTATTACAGTTGTCTCGATATTTACCCCTTTACCCTCCTCCACCCATCCCACCCCCACCCCCTGTTCCCCCAGTCAATTCCTACTCTGTTCATGTCCATGGGTCATTCATACATGTTCTTTGTCTAGTCCCTTCCCCTTCTTTTCCCATCCCCTCTGGTCACTTTCAGTCTGCTCCATGTTTCCATGCTTGTGGTTTATTTTGTTCGTTAGTTTATTTTGTTGAATAGAGTCCACTTATAGGTGAGATCATATGGTATTTGTCTTTCATCAGCTGGCTTATTTCACTTAGCTTAATATTCTCCAGTTACATCCATGTTGTCGCAAAAGGTAGGAGTTCCATCTCTCTCTCTCTCTCTCTCTCTCTTTCTTTCTTTCTTAAATGCAGATGGATTTTATTTATTTTTTTAAATGTCAAAGTTAAATATAAAATATTAAAATAATTTAAAACCATTATAAAGTCTCAGCAATTAAACCAACACGACACCAGCACAGAAATAATCAAGTAGATCAATGAAATATAATGAGCATTCTAGAGACAAATGTATATATCTGTCTAACAATATAATATATGATTAAGTTGATATTTCAAATCAATGGGTAAAATAAGGCTTATTCAGCAAATAAGGTGCATGGACCACTATTACTTGAAATAAATCAAATATAGAACCCTTTTTCACACATTATACAAGAAATATTCAGGTGAGTTAAAAATCAATATGTAGAATCTAAGGAATTTTAAAAGAAAATAGAAATAATATTTTTCATGACCTGAAGTAAAATATTCAAACCCAGACTATAAAGTAAATATTGACAATATGACTATATTAAACATTTAACTATATAGTAATATACATATTAAAAAGTTAAAGGACAAGGAATAGAATAGGAAAGTATTTGCAACACATCTAAAACAAGGCTCATAGGGGTTTTTTGTTTGTTTTTTTTAGGGAAAAATGTTCTACAAACCTTTAATCAATAAATAGATAAAGAATACCAAAAAGTCATTTAAAGCTTTTTTAAAAAAATAATAGAAATAGGCAAGAAATATACTAACACAGGTTTAGTTTCAACAAATAGTAAAGGAACAATTAAAATAACATCATTGTCACAGATTAATGAGTATTAAAAATATTGGTAATAGCAAGTATTGACAACTCTAAAAGGAACTGGGTATTCATATAAACTTTTTCTTCATCTTAAAGCAGTCCTTTTAGCATATTTTGCAGTGCTGGTTTAGTGGAGCTGTATTCTTTCAGCCTTCTTTTGTCTGGGAAACTCCTTATTTTGCCTTCCATTTTAATTAAGAGCCTTGCTGGGTAGAGCAGCCTTGGTTGCAGGCCATTGCTTTTCATTCCTTGGAATATTTCTTGCTATTCCCTTCTTTCTTGCAGTGTTTCTGTTGAGAAGCCAGCTGCTACCCATACTGGGGCTCCCTTTTATGTTACTACCTCTTTCTCCCTTGCTTGCTTGAGGATTCTCTGTTTGTCTTTGATATTTGCCATTTTAATGATGATGTGTCTTGGAGTGGGCCTCATTGGGTTCCTCTTGAATGAGACCCTCTGTGCTTCCTGGACTTGTGTGACTTTTGCTCTTCTCCAATCAGGGAAGTTTTCCATCATTACTTTTTCAAACAGGTTCTCTATCCCTTCGTCCTCCTCTTCTCCTTCTGGTATCCCTATTATACGGATATTATTATGTTTCAGGTTGTGCTGCATTTCCTTAAATGCCTCTTCATTCTTTTTGAGTCTTTTTTCATTTTCTTGCTCTTTCTGGGAGCTTTTTCCTACCTTGTCCTCCAGCTTGCTGATTTGATTCTCAGCTTCATCTAGCCTGCTTTTGATTCCTTCTACTGTGCTCTTCAATTCAGAAACTGTATTCTTCATTTCCTCTTGCCTCTTGTTGATAGTTTCTATGTCCTTTTTCATGCTGACATAGCTTACAGTAAATTCCTCGTAGTTTCCCTGTAGTTTTTTGTAATTCTCTCTGAGCTCACTGAGCTCACTGAGCTTCCTTAGAACCATTGTTTTGAACTCCGTATCTGATAGTTTACTTGCCTCTATTTCATTTAGTTCTCTTTATGGGATTTCCTCGTTTCCCTTCGAGTAGGGGGTATTTCTTTGTCTTCCCATTATTTGTGAGACTCTTCTCTTTTGCTTCTGATTCTTAATTTGATCTGTCTTGATTTCCTGACTTTGCGGTGTGAACTTCTATGGTAGGAGACTGCTGTTTTTACATTCTGGATCTGCCTCTAATGATGTCAGATGTCGTCCCTGTCTGACCTTAGGCAGTCTGTTCAAGACTTCCAGGAATCTACTGTTAGTGGCTGTCTCCTTCAGCTGTTAATCTAGGCACTCTGCACTCAGCAGGGCACCTTAGACAGCTCAGGGCACAGGGGAGTCCCTCCTGGGGGCGGGTTCTAAAGGTATTGCTTTATGTTATGATCCTCTACCTTTAGTTTGACTAATTGGCAGGTTGTGAGTTTAATTTCCTGCTTGTTTCATAAGTGGAAGTCATTGACCCTTTTTCCCCACCAAGAATAGAAATAATTAAATATTCTTTGGAAGCAAAAAGAGTGTGAGCTCTAAGTTTAGTTGTCTGGGTTTGAATGACAACCCCACCATTTATTCACAAATTGATGTTAGACAATTACTTAACCTCATTTATACTATTCCTCCATAAAATAAGGATGATAATAAATTTGCCTGATTGCCTTATGTTATAGATTTAATGAAATAACCACCTCATACGCAGCCTGGCACATAATAAACACTCAATAATAAGTGGTGGGGGGTAGGCAGAGACAAATGTAGTTGAAAAAATAAATTTAAATTAAATTTAAAAAATAAAAATAAAAAATAAATATTAGCTATTATTGTTAAACATTCTGATACATATTCTAAAATTCTAATATATATACTATGTTTTTAAATATGTTTTTGATTACTTAGGTACAGATGATGAAAGAGAAATGGCATTCAAGCTTGCAGGCCTCTTACACCTTCTGGTCACAATTCGCGATATCCTTTTAACATGTAGCTTGGACACAGCATTGGGTCAGTGGGGAAAATTTTTAATTTTTCTTTTCTTCCTATTGAAATATTTTATCCAAAATAAATTTTAATTTTCTGAAAAAGAGGCAACTTATAAGAAACTATGTAGTTTCTTTTACTTCTGTGTTAAACATTATATATACATTTTAACATAATTATAATAAAATATATATTTTACTCTGCTTATATTCATTAAAAGGAATTAACTGTAACAACTATCATCACCTAAAATATAGGTTTAGGATTCCCTCATCTAGGCCTGAATTACAGAGTCCTGATAGCTTTAAGCAGATTTGACTATATAATCATTATCATGCATTAATTTTTAGTGTAAGATAACATTTTGCCATATACATTTTAGGGCCTTATTGAATGTCTATAGCTTTCATTCTTTGCTGGATGAAATATGACTAAATTATTAGTAGTAAGATCTTGTACATTTTTAGTTGTGTGTGTAAATGAAGATATAAACTACTTGAGTGGTAAAAATAAAACTAATTTGAATGTATTGGCAATTTTATGATTCTGGAAATCTCTAAACTATCAGAATCATTAAAATATCTGTCTTACTACATTACTGCTTTAGGCTCCTTATTACAGAATTACTGAGATTTGTTTAGTAGTGGTGTGCTTATAGGATTATATTTTATAATTTAGAATTTTTAGGACCTATTTCAAATATAAAGTGAAAATAATTTTTTCCCTGATCTCTGTCTGACCCAGATGTTTCTTCTTATCTGTAACCCAGACGAATATTATTTCTCTAATCCAAGGTTTTAAAGATAAGTATTGAGCAACAGTGAGTTACAACTTTACTCCCTCTGCAACACTGGGGAGTTATAATACTTGGCTAACTATTTTATTCTCTGGCCAAGTAGTATAACTAACTTACAGCCACTCTTAGAAGGCCCAGCATGGTGCTTTTCCTTTCTTTTCCAATTAAACCGCTTGGGTGTTGATGCTGGATTAGGCTGTCTTTATCTCCATCTCAGACAAGTAAGGATTGGGAGCTATGGCCTCAATTTACAGTACCTGGACTTAGTATAAGGGTATAGTGTCACATGCCTGCCTATATTTTAGTCACCTGTCTTCATTAGACTTTCTGGCTTCCATAAAAGATTGTCAGTCTTGCCAACAGCTAGGCTGATGTTAAAATATAATAGTGAGGCAGAATATCAGATTCTAGCATATTTGAGCTCCCTGTGCTGTAGAGAGACTATAGCTGTTACTCATATACTTACCAAAACCTTGAATTAGAGAATTAATAAAAGGATTGCTTGAAACATATTCATCTTTAATTACTATGCAATTTACCCTAGGATTAACTGAGATGATGGAGAGCTGTATACTTGCATTGTTTTTGCTCCTCAAAGAAATGCATTTACTAAGTTAAACTTTGGCACTACTATGTGGCTGCTTTGAAGAATATTATAAAAGTAAAGTCCTTGTTGGAAAGCTAACTTCTTAAGCCCTAGGTACCAAGCCATGACTGCCCTAGACATTTTTTAGTGAAAGGCTTTTTTTACTCCTCTAAACCTTTCCAAAGCAAAGAGCAATTTAGGTTATCTCCCTTTCCTTCCCTCTCTCCAGTGGCAGAAGAAAGGTCTGTAGGGCTCTAGCTGCCTGCCCTGTTCCCTTCCAGAATTCTGTATCTTCTCCCAGCTTTGTTTGCTACTTCTCCCAAGCTAGCAAACTGGAAGATCCAAGGCTAAAGATAGAGTGTTTCAAAATCAGAAAAGGATTAAAGGAAATTTTAATTTTTTTTGTTGGTGTTAGAACTCTTATTTCCTTTCAGATTTTTATCATGGAGTTTCTTCAAGAGTGAAAAGTCATGCTTCCCCTCTCCCCACTTTTGTTTTTAACAGGATATTTGTCAAATGCAAAAGATGAGTACAAAAGCATTTTAGGTTCCTATTTGGATGACATTTGGAGACAGCTAGAAATTGTACAGTTTATTAGGAGGGAAAAGCCTGAAACCAACTACAAAATACAAGAATTGCAATGTCAGATACTAAATTGGATGCAAAGTGAACAGCAAATTAAGGCAAGTACTGGAATAAAGTAGATAATGGTAATTAGCTTAAATAAGAATTGAATACAAGATAAATATTTGCACTTAGTTTTGAAATTATAACATAGTCTATACTATTTGGTCCCTTGACAGTATTCTTCTTAATTAAATTAACAGAACAAAATCAGGCCCAGATAAAGGATGATTTGCATCGTTATTGATATGTCTTGAATTTAAAAATAATTTTCATTATACACAGTTTTCTATGGATTACTTCTCAAAATCTCAAAAATTTTCTCTGGTACTTGTAAGTTCATGAACATATACCCAGCAACAGAACTACAATAATTTATATTTTGATATTGAGCCAAAATCTCATCTTAATGTGATTCTCCAAAAAGAAAAAAGCACTTATTTTATGCTTTGGATTATATTGGAAATTTTTGCCCATCCCACCTCAAGTATATGAAGGTTGCATTAATAAATATTTAAGAGAAAATGCTTTTAAAAATCTTTTCAAGCACAAAAGCATTTCAGATGTTTTACATAAAATCTTGTTACAAATTTGGCCTTCTTTTTCTCTCTGGCCCTCCAATATTTTTATTTCCAATTTTATGGTTACTTGGTAACTTGCTTAAGTCATTAAAATAAATTAAAACAATCAGTAAGAAATTTAAATTTGACATTGATTTGTTGTCCCCACTCCATTCCTCCCCCCAAAAGAACGTAATGGTAAGTAGGAAAGTATAGCAGCAAATCGCTGGTTTTCTCCAACAAATACAGGCAAAGACAACTTAGTTCTAGATAGAATCACCTGTATGGGAATACTTGAAGAAGGCTAAGTATGTCCTACTGCAAAGCTTTTTCTTCATTAATATTTGATCTTACCAGAATTTATTCCTTTGTATTTAAGCATGACATCTTTTATAACACAAATATTTGCTTTGTAATCTTATTGCCATTAGTTTCATATAACCAATTAAGTTTATTTTGTCACTGTAGCAAAACTATGAAAAAGAATAACTATTCAAATATACATATATGAGAAATTCTTATTTTTGGTCAGGTGCTGATTATAATACGAATGGACTCAGATGGTGAAAAACATTTACTCATTGAAATCCTTAACAAAATGGAAGGTAGGCAGTTTTTAATTATGCATCATTGATAACATATACTTGAACATAAAAATGTATTGGTCAAGCCAAGTTTTAAAATTAAAATATGATTAACATACCATAAAATTTATCCTTTAAAAGTCAATAACTCAGTGATATCTAACCAGTTTTTAAATCAATCTGGACTATACATCTGCAATATAAATATACTGTAATATGCTTATATGTATATTATTATTTTCATCAACTGATGTTTTTATTGAATATCTACTAGTTGCTAAATAATGCTACTTACAACAGCTCTATTAGTAGGTCTTATTAACTAAATTTTACAAAGAAACTAAAGTTCATAAAGTGACATAGCATGCCGAATCTCACAGGTACTAAACGAGGGGATTGGAATTTGATGAACCCAGGTCTCTCTTGTTCCATTGTCATCCTTCATTTCATACTTCTACCCCCTTTTGCCCCCTCTTGCCAACCCTTTCCACCTTGTGCTGTGGAACCCATTGCTTATATGTAAACTCTTCTTCACTTCCTTGTCTTAAGTGAAACCCAATTTTCCCCAGAATATAATGCTTCCCCTATATTCTTCTCATATAGAAGCTAGTTCCACCATTTTATGTGCTTGCAAGTGCTAGTAATGCACACAGCAAATAATCTGCTTTCGAATCATAGCTAATACTAATCATTATTATTTAAAAGGTTAGCTTTTAAATAATATAACCTTATAAATTATAAAAGAGAAATCATCCTCTCCCCCTTCTTATTGCTACCAAAACTATTGTATTAATTCAAGTAAACATGAAATTATTAAATATTACTTTGTCATTACTACATCATAACATTGTGAACTTTACAATTGAAAGAGTACACTAACAGAGTATAGAATTTATTTTAACTAGAATTAGCTATTCTTAAATCAATTATATCTGTAAAAAATCAACTGTATGTGTGGGTACAGAATTTTTTGTTTATTATATTTTTTAAATTAGTAACATATGAAATTTAAATTGAAATGAAGTCTCTTGATGTTTAATTATGTACTTAAATTTTTACTAAAGGAAAAAGATAAAATCTACCATGATTTTTAGCAAAATAAAAATAACTGCACAGAATTGGTGAATAAGTTTTATTTGGTCATTTTAAAATTAGGTTTTTGATTCATTTTATTATTTTACATAAAAAATTCAAAATTCCTATGCTCATACACACACATCAGAAATATTTCCTACAGTTTAAACTTTCTGCTCCCTAGACTTAGAAAAATAACCCCCCAAATTGTATTCATTTTTGTGCTGGTGAAATACATGACACATCTAAAAATTACATATGAACAAAACACTGAAAAGCCCTGGCCTGTGTGGCTCAGTTGGTCGGAGTGTCATCCCAGAAACCGAAAGGCTGTGTGTTCAATTCCCAGTGAGGGAACATACCTAGGTTGTTGGTTTGGTCCCCACTCAGGGTATGTATGAGAGGCAAGTGATCGATGTTTCTCTCTTGCATTGATTTTTTTTCTCTCCCTCTCTCTGTCCCTCCCTTCCCTGTCTCTGAAAAATAATCAATAAGCATGTCCTCAGGTTAGGATTAAAAGGAAATACTGAAAAAAGCCCTTTCTTTCATTACTATTTTTTTCTAACAGGTTTAACATTGAGTGTCTTACATTCGAACACAAGAAGAGATTATATGGAATCTGAAGATGTTTTAGATGGGTAAAAATGTATTTCTTCATCTGTGGGGAGCAAACATACAAATTCCACAAGAAAAAGCACAATTTCTCCTAGAATTTAACTTTTATAAAAGGTTTAATAAAATCTGAAATTAATCAATGTCTCTACCCCTTCCTGAAAAATGCTTTACACAGAGCATTTTAATTCAGTTCATTGCCTTGTGTTGTTGTCTAGAATTTTAGTTCAATCTTGCTTTAATACCCACAAATTATCATTATTATTATTATTGTCAGTACAGAGAGTAACTATTTAGACTTACAAGATTTTACCAGCTTTTTTGCTCAGCATTGTTTCTTAGATTTCCTTCATTTGTTTTGGGTTCTCTCTCTTCCGGAAGTACAAAAGTATAATTCTTTCAGTGAGGTCCTACTAATAATAAATTTAGTGTTGATTTGTCTAAAACTGTTTTTATTTTGCCATATTTTATGTAAAAATTATTTATTCTTAATATTGGATCTAAATAATAAAAAGAGAAGATGTAAAATCAAATAGAAGCCCATAAAAGCTATACATAGATACCTTTTAACTTCTATCTATCTAGATTGCTCTGGGCAGAAAGCAGATGTAGAGAATTTTAATTTCAGTAAGTGCTGTTGTATGAAATTCAGAGACAGGAAGGATATCTTAAGTATCCACCTTTTTTGTTGTTGTTAAATCACTTATGAAGCCTATTGAGAAAAAAAGTATCCCCATTTCATAGTTGGTAGATAATATTCTATTATATAGCTTCTCAAAGATAAAAACCTCACATTTGTAGGAAAATGAGATTGAATTCTCATGGCGATTTATCTGCTATGGATAAGACTCAGGTAATAATAAAATTAAGGACCCTTGCATTTAAGGATGTGATAGAGTCTATAGCTGTTTATATTTGAGTTAAAAAAAGTGTAACCATCAAAAAAATAAAGATAAAAAGAGATTAGTACAAGTGGAGAACAAATAAACAGAAAATACACCAGTGTTTCTCAAAGATAAATAGGCATAGATTAGAGAAGAATAAAATAAGCCAAAAACATCTTTTAGCATTCCAAGTAAATAATGGTATAAGTATAACTCCATTTTCTTGGCTTTCTTTTGTCTTCAGTACAAGTTCCTGTGTAGTAGTACATAATCAGTATATTGGAGCAGACTTCCCCTGGAGTAATTTCTCATTTGTGGTGGAATATAATCACGGAGAAAACTCTTGTTGGACTAAACACTGTGAAAAACTGAATATTCCATTCATGGCCTTTAAAGTGATTCTTCCAGACACAGTTTTAAAGAGTAAGAATAAAAACAAAAAACATTTTTTTTGTTTGTTTCATTAGGATGTAAAGTTTCTGTTTCCGATCTATGGAAAGAGAATAAGCTACAATATTAGAAGACAAGTTCAAACTCTAACTTTACCACTATCTATGTGATGTTGAACAAGTCCTTTAACTATCTCTTACCTCATATTTCTCATTTGCAAAGTAAACATCATTGATTATATTTATCTTCATCCCTTTAACTTCTAAATTTTATTTATAATAACAAAATTTATTACAATTATATCTAATATCAATCTGGTACTTTAATTCCATATTATTTTATTATATTTTAGAGAAAAATTATGCACTAGTATGTTTACTGATTCAGAAATATTTTAATGAGCAACAAAATATTATACACAACTACTTAGAAAAGAGTCTAAAACCATTTTGTATATATTTCATTTTCTGGGTGTCTCTCACTTCACGTGACTGAGGCCATGAATTCTCAGACCATTTAAATTAAAAAGCCCCAAGATGTTTACTCCCAGCCCATCCCTCTTTCAATAGTTGTCCTAAGTTACTTTCTATCCATCTCAAGTATGAATGGAAGTTTGAATTGATCGTTTCAACTCAATTCTAAAATACACCATAATTATTATTTAGAATCTTTGATATTTAGAATTGAATGTTAAATTGATTAAATAATTTAAACATGGGCCCAAGAAAAAAATAAAAGCTAAGCATTCTCACTTATAGAGGCTTTTTTTATTCTCTCAAAGATGACCTTAATTAACCAATTCATTATTTGAGGCATTTACAATGCTTCAATTCTCTTCTGTTATACTGTAAGGTAAAATGGTTTTATATCTTGTATATTTTTATATGTTTGTTTTAAGAAATTAGAATTCCAAGAAATAAAATTAATTGCTGCGTTAAAGGTCTACACACATTTATATATTACCAAATATCCTTCCAGAAATTGTTTTCCAATTTATATTTATGCAGAAAGTATGAGAGGATCCTTTTTCCATATCTTTACAATAAGTTGGTATTATTAATCATTTAAATCTTTGACACAATTATAGTCAGTAAACATTTTATAGTTGTGTGTATTTGCATATCTGTGATTATTCATGCATTTTCATATGTGAATTGATCTTGTATAGCCATTCCTTTGTAAATTCCTTGTTTATATTCTTTGTCTATTGAGGCATTTATTCTTTTCTTATTGATCTATATCACTCCTCATCGGTTATTGTGCATAATTTTTAATTTTGATCAGTTTATATTTACATAGCAAATGTCCAGTGTACACTTAAGTGAATAAAGCAGATTCTAACATTCAGGTATACTATAATCCTATTTTTTCTTTTTTTTTTTAAGTGAGTGTACATGTGTGAGTATATATAAGCAAAGATATAGAAAAACGTCTGGAAATACGTACTAAACTATTTTTAGTATATGGTAGTTTTAGTAAATCTATTAACTCTTTTATTTCTAGTTAGGATAACACATGGCTGTTATTTTATTCTTCAGACCTTCCTTTATTCTGATTTCTAATTGTTTACAATGAATATGTATTATTTTTATACTACTCCTTGAACATACACCTGTTATTCTCATGTTTAATAAAAAATACACCTGTTATTCTCATATTTAATTTAAAAAAATAGATTTTCTCATCTCATGGGGGATGAGAAAAAAGATATTTATAAATTTTTTTCTTATTTAGGAAGCAACTTGCTGGATAGTTTTGGTGGTTTTCTTTTGGATATTCAGATTCCATATGTGTTTTTTGCATCTGAAGGACTTCTTAATACTCCAGAAATACTTCAGTTGCTCGAATCCAAGTAAGTTATTGATTTCATAACTTTAGCAAAGGTATATATATCCTAATGGTTAAGTATTATGTTAAATATATGACACTATTCTCTCAGATTCAAGCTTAGTATTATATCACACACATATAGTTTTCCAGAAAGTTGACGTCAGTGTATGTTTCTCTCATTCTAGTACACCATCATAATTATTAAATATTATTTTTGTTAATATAAATCAATTATGTGGATAAAATATTTCATTGTTTAAATTTATATTTTAATTGCATTTCTTTTGTTACTAGCAAATAAGAACATTTTATGTGTATTTTTTCTGTGAATTACATGGTTAGGTTTTATCTTTGAATCACTGATAATATAGAGAATGACTGTTCTGAAAAAAGAGAGAATGGATAAGGAAGGGGGATTGGGAGAGAGAGGAACATCAATGTGAAAGAGAAACATTGACAGGCTGTCCCCCTCACCTGCCTGACCAGGGATCAAACTGGCAACCTTTTGGTTAAAAAGTGTTTTATTTTAAATATAATTTGATCAGGGCAGATCACAAACACTAAAACAGTTTTGGACTAGATGGTAAACTTTTCTGAACACAGAATGAATGGTACCATCACACTGTTGGTTCAAACTGAATAAAAAAAAGAGAGAGAGAATGACTATGCTTATTTAGAAGACTTTAAATACTGCCTGCAAAACAGGACTATAGAGGTATAAATGAATTTTCAGATTTTTAGACATTTAGTTCTAAGATCATACCAACACTGAGCATTTTAAAATCATAAAACTTTACCAAAGCACACAGTTGTCGTAGGAATATTAGACACTGGGCTATATCTCAAGAAAGAATTACAATGCTGTAACCTTAGTTCAAATGCAGATTTATTTTCCATGCTTTTGTATTTATATCTTAAAGTGGTGGGGCAGTCACAGAAACTTCTGAGCTAAAAGAAGGTAGTTAAAATCTAAGCCAGTTTTAAGGAGAAAGAAAAGAAAATTCTGATAAATACAGAATGTTTAGTCTCATAGCATGATATTTTGGTTTCATTATTATTTAAAGAGCAGAATAAATTGGTCCATACATTTGTAATAGTATTATGTACAGTAATACTTAGCAAAGTACCTAAGGCAACAAATAGCCAACTAATTTGTCATATATACTGAATAAATCATAATTTTATCCCTCAAATTTATAAAGTAGAATAAATTGATATATAAAAGAAAAAGCACCGTAATTCAAATAATTTAATATATAGGAGGAAAATACAGCATTTCTTAAAAATTTTTCTTAGCCATTTCATTGTCACCCAAAGTATTGTATTTTACAGCTATAATATCACACTAGTGGAGAGATGCTGCACTGAGTCATTGAAATTCTTTGGAGGGACAGAGTGTTATGTAGTAGTGACAGTTGATGAACACACTGCCATAATTTTGCAGGTAAAACTATACAGCAAAAAATATGTATAAATCAAATAAATTTAAATGTATGTTAACCATGTAATTTATCATCAGCTTTACTATAGGGAGTTTAACCATAATCTATTAGAGATTTCTTCCAAAACTTTGCAAGTGAGTCACAAGTGCCAAAAATGTCACTGTGGAAAATGCCTATTACCAAGCTTCTTTGGTGCCTTATAATTTTTAACATACTTTAAGGCAAAGCAAATATAGAATCTTTAATATAGGATATTGGCCTATTGTCAAATACATTTATAGAATAATTAGAGTGTTTAAAACTTTAAGAACTAAATGCTACTCACTATGTTTCTTAAAAGGGGGTAATATATCAACCCATGATTGGTAATATGGGATTTCCTGTAAACTAAGAAGGGATTGCTTGTAAGTAAGATGGATTTTAAAAGACAGAGAAATTCTCTTCAAAAACCCATATAGCTTAGAATTTAAGATGTATAAATTCTTGACTGAATCTCCCTAATGTTTGCTTGATTGGAGTACAAATCACAGAATTATTTTGTTAGGGCAGAGTGGGAAGCAAAAACGAGTTTGATGTTATGCAGTATGAATTAATGACAAATATTATGAGCAAATGCTAACAATAGAAGAATTATATGAAGGAAACACAAAGCTCTGTTAGAGAGATTCATAAGAGATATTATATCTTGCATATTTAAGATTCTTAAAAAAAATTGTGGAGAAATATCATTTGGGAAAACTTTTAATCCACAGTTACATAAATTACTGTTAGAGTAAGGCACTTCCTAAATTACTTACTCTATCAAAAATTGTGTTAAAGGAAAAGAGAACTCCAGATCATTAGACAGAGATTCCTAGAAATCCATTAACTGCTGCTTTCTCATCTTCCTTAAATAAGCATCTGGAGCAAATTATCTATTTTAAACATATTTTCCATTGCCTTTAGGAGTAGCTAGATCCCTGTCTATGAAGGACTTTACCCAGTAAGGGCACTCTGTATGTAGGCTGCTTTCTTCATATCTAGGACTTTGGGGGATTTGTGAGCCTTTCTTGTTGAAACCATCACTAGCTGTTTTACATCTATTGTAGCTTTTCCCCTACTACTTCCAGGGTGATTTTAATTTTTTTTCATAAAATAGAATTATTATTCTCAAGTTATAATTTATGTATCATAGATTCTTGAAATATGGTAGCAATAATTTCATAACAACTATTAATCTAGTGAATCTTTTTATTTTATTTATTTTCTGGTAGGGCCTAGAAGAACTGAATTATGAAAAGGCATCAGACAACATCATTATGAGACTGATGGCATTATCATTCCAGTATAGCTGTTGTTGGATAATTTTATATGCCAGAAAAACATTAAATTCAGAGTAAGTGAATACTTCTTCATCTAAAGTCACATTCATTTTTTTTTAAGTTATTCAGTTTTCTTCTGTGAATAGAAGTAGCTATGCAGATTTTCCACTTGCTCATTTAATTTGCTTTAAGTCAGGGGCTCTCATGATGGAAGCATTCCCAGAAGAAAATAAACCAAGATCTTGGAGATACGTTTCCCCTGGACATTCTGTACCAATCGCCCTCCCCTCTTCTACCTTACTAGGCATTGCTGCTTAAAGTGTTTCACTTCTTATTACTTTTTAAACCTGAACTTGTCTGTTAAAAGATAAGTATTTTTTAATTGATTTGAGAGAGAGAAAGGAAAGAGAGAGAGAGAAGTATTGATCTATTGTTCCACTTATTCATGCATTCATTGGTTGCTTGTTATACATGCCCTGATCAAACAGAAAACCTGCAACCTGGGCATATAGGGACAACAGTTTAACAACAGAGCTACCTGGCCAGAGCCTAGATAAGTCATTCTTAAATTACTTCTCTCTAAAATCTTATTAAATACACCAACTAACTAGCACCTTGCTATACTTTCTTTCATTAATGTGCATTACTGAAGAATTACAAAAAAAAATCCATGCCAAGACACTGTGTATTAAGGGGATGAGTTAAATTTCTCCCCTTGCTCCCCACAACCCCAACATCCCCTAGATTTAACACTATTATTAAAAAATGAAAGTGGAAATGTTTTTAATCAAAAAGGGCTGAGTAGACAAAGAAACATGAGTTTGCCATACTCGAATATTTTTAGCTGGGTTATTCTAATAATATTATGAAATGTGAAAAGCAAAATGAATTTTTAATAAATATAATCAGATGTCAAATGAGTGGGAGTATAGTAATATAATTCTTTTTAGGTACTATCTTACAGAAAAGACACTTCATCACCTGGCACTGATTTATGCAGCTTTAGTTTCATTTGGGCTAAAATCAGAAGAACTGGATGTAAAGGTATTCTTTTCCTATATGTTTGCTCATAAACCAAAATTATACTTAAACTCATAAGCCTAACAAAAAGAAACATTAAATGGGTAAACCAAAACTGCTTAAAAGCCAAGTAAAGAACAGTTTTCAAATTAATGAATATTCTTTCCACCTAAACTTGTTTTAAAAGCCTTTAGTTTAATAATTTTAATATTTTATTTCATAACTACCGCTTCAATTTTTAAAACATATCAGGGTATGAATAAAAATAAATATACCCCTTGAACAAAAATGCTCACTTATGAAAGATATACTAAGTTCTCATCTTCTGTAAAATGGAAATCTTACGACATACGAAGACAGTAACACTTTCGTAATCTCTTGTTTGTCTCCTTTCTCAGTTCCATTTTTTAATGTCTTTGCTCTGAATTTACACATTCCTCCAATTTTGGGACTCAGTATTCTTCTGCACTTCATAGTCTCCCTTAATAAACTCAACCATTCTCACAAATTTAACTTTCATTTCTGGGTATAATCCATTAAAATGTCTTCACTTTTCTTAAAGTCTGCATCTATAGTCTAGCATTCTACTGGAAAGCTCCACATGAATATCCCACAAGGTACCTTGGACTGTGCATGTATTAAATATGGCTTCTGATCCTCTCCCAAATTTAGTCCACGGTGTTAGTATGGTAATCTGAGCTAAGCTAAATCCTCCTTTTAACTCTGCAGTTCCTTTTCTGGAATGTCTTTTCTTTCTACTCCCACTGCTATTTCTCTAAATTCAGGCCTGTATTACCTCTCCCTTGGAGCTTCCTAACTAATCTCATTTCTATTTTTCTCCCAGTCCAGTGTATCATATATGTTGACACCAGTTACATTTTTGAACTAAGCCTGTGAATATTCACTTCCTAGATAGTAAGCTTCTGAAGGAAGAACATCTTTATTCATTTTTGTATTCATTACTGGCACCCAGCACAGTACAAGCAGGTGTAGTGCAAGTGCCAACCATGTACCAGGCTCTTGATAAATATTTGTTGTTGAGTTGATCTTTCTTGTTCAGAAGACCTTCTGTAGCTTCCTATTTGATTCAAGATAGAGTTCAAACTCAGCTGGACTGAAACTTCACAATTTGGCCAATAGTGATCCTTCCTTTATCATTCTGCTCACCATTTCCTGAATAAGCCTCCGTACAATCAGCTCTCAGTCACTGTACAAATATATCATTCTGGCCTGTCTTTCCCCAGGAACACTATTCCCCATCTCTTATTGCCAACCTTTATCATTCTGTCTTTTTCTGCCCAGCTCAAACACTGCTTCATTTAAGAAATTTGCCCCCATTACACCCTCTCAGGAGAAATCTCCCCTTATCCCATCCTCCCATAACACTTAGTGCCTTTGTTATAGTATGAGGTATTTATTCATGTATCCTTAACCCTGAACGGCCCTTTTTCTTTGTGAAACCTATAGTATCTAGCACAGTGCTTTGTATAGAGGAAAAATATGCAACATCAACAATTATATCAAAGCACAACCTGTTAAGAAAATCAACCAATGATCTATTTGAAATAAAATCCAGATAATTTTGATCGATATTAAACATAGAAATAATATTCTAAAAAAGTTCTCTAAATAAATGAGTGGTAAATGTAAATTTGCCTGATTTATATCATTCAAGCGAAGTTTTACCACTTAATCAGCCTCTTTTCTTCCCAGTTCATGGTAAACAGTTGAATGCAAAATATGCTTAGTATCATTTCATTCTTCTGTACATTGAGTACACGATACCAGTGAGCAATACTGTACTCTGATACAGTGACATCATCATTGTTCATGCATGCGCATTACAGTCCACTCTCCTCGGCTGCCAGGTTACATAGATGTTGCAGAAATCGTTCTCATTAGACTAACAATGGCTGGATTTTTTCTGGACAGACCTCGTATGTCACCAACACTCAAACCTCCCATTCTCCTGACTTGATGACATTATTACATTACAAGGGATTCCCTAGATTCATATTGTTTTAGAATATACTGTTGCTTCACCTTAGTTTATTTAGTAATATGGCTTTGACCTTTTAGAGTGCATTAGTATGGACTTTTTTTTCAGGCATCTGAAGAGACTAGCCATTAACAAAATATTAGAAAATTTAAGTAAATTTTCTTAAACTAAAAGAAAATACAGCTAGTAGTTTTATGCATTATTTTATTCTAGTTTCAAAAAATTTTCAAATTTTTGATATTTGTTGTTCAGTTGATCTTTCTTGTTCAGAAGACCTTCTGTAGCTTCCTATTTGATTCAAGATAGAGTTCAAACTCAGCTGGACTTAAATTTTTTATTCCCTGTCTTTTCAAAAAAATGCATAGATATACCCATATGCAAAATTTGGAGAACAATATTAGGGAATTCCTGAATTTGTCAAAGTCTAGCCATGAGCTCTGCTCTAATAAAGCAATGTGATTAACACCATCACAAAATTATGCCTTTAAAAATAAAATGTATATTCAAATAGGAGTGTCAGATAGTCTCAAAACATACAAAACTTAGCAATTAAATAAATTTGGATTCAAACAGTATATTTCTGTACACTCTATACATATTTATTATAATTGAAAGAAAATCTTTCTTTTGAATATATATTCATTCCCTAGGTATGTACTGACAGTTTTATATTTGAAATTCTTGTGAAAGATAATATTGTTATAATTATTTTGTGAGATTTGTACAGGACAGGATATTTATATTTCTACGATATGATTGTTTAGGGTAGTATTTCTCTGTCCACGTTAAACTGCTAACTCATGAACTATCTTTCCTTCAACTGAACCTAAAAGAAGATAAAGTTAGAAATGAAAGAGGAAGAGAAAGATTGCCATTTCAAAAGAGAGAAGGGCCTGCAGGGAAACACAGGTGACAGAGAAGAAGCAGAAAAAAATAAGAAATTCTTTTTTAGCACTTAATAAAAAGTACACACATTTTTGGCAGTGGTATCTTAGTGTTAAATAAGCTAAAATTGGATGAGAAATTCCCAAAATGCTGGGGAAGGCTACTCTAAATCAAAACCTTACTTTATTTCTTTTTGAATACAGTTTGAAATTCATCTGCAAATATCCTTTATTTTTAATTTGTTTATGGAAAATATGACACAATATTTTTTAAAGTTCTTATTTTTAGTTGAGAACTATTAAGTTGGCTTATAAAAAGTTTAATATTAAACATTACTAGTGATATCCAAATTGCTTTTTATTCTAATATAAATGAAATATAACAAATATATTTAAAATATTTTATTCATAAATGTCAATGGAGTGAAGAAAACCAATTTATTTCCAAAAATTGGAAACTACAAGGATGTCAGACTTAAAGAAAGAAAGACAATTGCTTATCCTTACAAAAAAAAATCCTAGATTTCACATAGACAAATTAATAAATTAATCTAAAATAGTGCTCAAAGATTAGAATCTGTCAATTTTTATTTTTCTCGTAATTATAAATACATTTTGAATGCTATGTTTTGCTTCCTAATATTTTCTAGAGTTTAACATTAAAATATTATTTTTAGCTTATAATTGCCCCTGGAGTAGAAGAGACTGCATTGACAGTTCGACAAATTGCTGACCACACTTTAATGACCTCGAAGAGAGATCCTCATGAGTGGCTGGATAAATCTTGGCTTGAAGTTTCACCAGCTAAGGTTTACTTCATAAATTAATAAATTAGATATTTTCAAAGCAAATATAAATACATGTATTTGAATTTTCTTTCTGGTAGCATATTTTAGTCCTATAATGCTTGCATGAGCATATATGACAATAACTATAATGTACAACATTTTACGTAGATCATTTTCCAGAATCGTTTGTACTTTTTAATTTCACAGAACTTTTTAATGGGGTTTCTATAATGAACTTTCAAATCTAAGTTATTGTACGGTGATCTAATGACTAATTCCTAATATTTAAAAAACGTAAGTATTTTTATAATTCCTAAATTTAAACATTTAAAAATAGTGAATTTATTAAGAGAGTTACAAAATTTGATTTGATGATTTGTCAGGAATTCAGCTGTATAATTGAAACTCAAAGTAGAGTGTGAAATACTTATAAAATTATATGGTGAATTTTTAGAAACTTCTTTGAGCATAAATATTTCCAAGATCTCATACCAAGAAGTCATACTCGGTGTCTATTACCTTTTTTAAAAAATTAACTCAAACCATGAAGCCATAAAAAAAGGAATGACAAGGCTCTTTGTATTCTGACATGGAATAGCCTCCAAGAGAAATTAGTAAGTGTAAAATGAAAGTTGCAGGACAGAGAGCATGCAGTATACTACTATTTGTGTAAAACAAAGGAAATTAATATTTATAGGTATTTGTTTATAAATTAATAAAATATCTCTGGAAGGGTGACAAGAAGATAACATTGGTTATCTTCAGAGAAAAGAGCTGGAGTAATGGGGTGGGAATGAAACTTTTTACATTTCAGTATCTTTGCAATATTGAACCATGTGACTTTTACCTATTCAAAAACTAAAATTATAAAACAAATAAAATAAAATATGCATATATACTAAATTACAAGCCTTTAACATGCTTAAACAGAGCATAGTACTATCAGCAAGTGTGGGTAAAATTAACTATGATGTGTGGGTGTGTGCATTTTCCTTCCTACCAAGGTATGTCCAATATGCTCACATGTCTGTCATTTGATAAAAATCAAAGAGGGTGTAAAAAGCCAGTATAATCCAGGAAAAATGGGAATATGGCAATAGTAGAGATGGCTGTTATATTTCTAGACTTTTATGAGATCTCTCTGAAAACATACATTTTTAGACTGTCAAGTTCAGTTCTGGTTGATAGAAATTCTTCCTATATACTCTTTACAACGAGTCGTCCCTGAAATTATAACATTTCTTAAATATCATAAACATGATTCATCTTAATCAAACAGTGATAGTGTGGGGTCTACAAAAGGAGGTCCTAAACTAAGTCCTCGAAAAGCTTTCTCTTTAGGAAATGTAGCATTAGTTAAAATAATTTTCATATGAAGAAGATGAACTGTAACAAATCTTTTTTGGATGAGTGATGAGACTGAACAAACTTTCAGATCCTTCCCAAATCTGAGAGTGTACAAATCTTCACGGAGTACAATAAAATGGGTCACTTTCAAAAGACCACTGGCTTATTATTCCTTAAACTCTTTCCTAGGAAGAAATGTATTTACTTGATTTTCCATGTATTAATCCATTGGTGGCTCAGCTCATGTTAAATAAAGGACCTTCTCTTCACTGGATATTGTTAGCAACTCTTTGTCAACTTCAGGAACTCCTACCTGAAGTTCCAGAAAAAGTGTTAAAGGTTAGTTTTTGATATCTTTATTCTTATATAGGTTTATTTCCTTTCCATTTGTGTATTTATTTTTACCATAAGCATTTTCAAAATGAGGATATCCAAGTATAATTGTTTTGGACTTCACATACCAAAGAAATAATTTACTTGAACTAAATATTATATAGAATTCTCATTGGCTGTCAATCACATTTACATTTTAAAGTTATATAGATAATTCAGTATAGTCAGTTTATCACAGTTTAAATCATTCTGAAGTGTTATTATGCCTCTAAATATTCAATTATACACTCTATTTATATGAGTTTACATAATCTCTTTCAAACAATCCTGACACCCTTCATTATAGTAGTAAAGAGAATATTAGTCTTATTGGTAAAATTTTTAACTTTATCAAGGAAATGGTATTCATACATAACTTGTTTAACTAAAAATTCTATTAAAACTGATTAGAAAATAGATGCAAATTACAACAATTTTTTCTTTTAATGGAAGCTAATTATGTTGTTATTACATGGGTCAATATAATACCTATGAATGAACTACTTATTTATATTTAGCTTCCCTTCCATATAGATAAGCATTCACTTGACTGATGTTCATAGTTGTATTAATTCATTTTTAATATTTTTAGCATTTTTGTGACATCACTTCCTTATTCAAGATTAGTCCTACTTCTATAACAACATCACCTCAAATTTCATCACCTCAGGAAAATAGAAATCAGACTAGAAACTTCCTTCTTCAGAGTTCAGCTTCTGACTCTTCAGATTCTGCCATTCAAGAACATAATGAATATTGCCAGTACTCAGACTTAGGAGAGACAGTGCAGGAAGACACAAACACCACTTCAAATTATAACTCTTCCCTCGTGGAACCAAGGGAAAGAGAAATGCCATGCGTTTTACCACCTGTGACTTCTTACACACAGACCGGCTATTGGAAAGACTCCAGTTGTAACTCTAACATAGTGCAGAATAATCCCTTTCTGATTAATATGGAATCAAGGAACTCAGCTGGTAACTACTTTCTAAACCAGAATGATTCACAGACAGATGTCTTTTCTTTGGGTCTGACACAAATAAATTGTGAAACCAGAATATCACCAATTGACACTCAGAAGAGAGCTGCCCCTAATTTTATAAATTCTCAGCAAAAGGGAACACATGAAGCAAAAAGACCTATAAACAAGGAAGTATCTACCCCTATCTTTTCATTAGAATACTCTCAACCTCCTCCTCCTTGGAACTTTAAGAAAAATGTATGGGAACAACAGAATCACTCTTTCAACTTACAGTATGGTGCAGAGCAGACTACATGTGACAAATGGTACTCTCAGAAAGATAATGTATACTCTGTTCAGCAAAAATGTCCATCAGATGAGTTGGAAGGCTTCATCTGTGAAAGTTCAAATGCTGGGACTCAAGAGGCTCTCTGGAAAGAATTACCATCTGTTCCTAGTTCGAATTTATTTTGTGCTTCTGGTTCTAACATTATTCAAAAAGAATTCAACAATCTTTATGTCCATCAAAGAGGTGGAATGCGTTTAGGACAGAAAAGGCACGCTGAATCTTCATCTAACTCAGAAGACAAGAAATCATTAACAGGTAACATTATTCAGTAGATGATAAGCTATTTTCAAGTGTAATTTAAAATGATATAACCATCTCCTAATTAAGTTTGTTTTGTTTTAATTACTACACTTAAAGAATCTTCAGTAACTTTTGGGTCAAAGAGAAGATCAAAATTCTAATTTTAGATGTCTGAGAAAATAAATGCAAAGAAAATGTCAAATTCTAGTAGCTTTAGATGAACTAAGCATTCAACTTCAGAAGCTAAAAACACAGAACAAGTCTAAATAAAACAAGACTAAATTAACAAAGATTAAACAGAAATCAGTGAACTATAAAATTAATTTATTTGTCAGGTAAGGATATTTAGTGAGCTCAAATTTATGAAGAGCTTATTATATGCTAGGTACCATTCTAAGCCCTTTATGTGGATTATTTAATTCTGATAATCCTTTTGAATAGATACTTACTCTTTATTGTGCAGTCGATGTTTCTGAACATCTAATAATATCATTTTTTAAATGGACAATTTTAGTTTCTCATTTCTTATAATTATATCTTTCTTTAATGTGTCATTACTTATTATATTGTCCTGAATATCTAGAACAAAATATTAAGTTTTAGTGGTCATAGAAGATAGGGAAAAAAAAAAAGGAGAGAGACTTAACAATTTAAAGCTCCTCTTTTGCATAGGCCCTTTTGTGTGGCCTGAGAGGGGTCCAGAAAACCCTGTATTCTTTGTTTTATTAAAAGAGGACCTCCCAAATTATATAAGCCCCAGGATCCACAAAACTTGGGTTGGGTCCCTTTCAACAGTTATAATTTGTTTGGTTCCTGATTTTAATGAAAAGTATTCTATTCATAGTTTTGTAAGAACTGTTGTGAAGAATAATAGATGTTGAATTTTATCCAAACTCTTTTTGGCTCCTATTGAAAAAAATCAAACATGTTTCCTCCATTGACATATTTATGTCAACGATTATATTTACAAGTTTAATAATATTAAATCATTTAAATCATTTTTGCCGTTTCTGTAATAAACCTAACTGGCTTTTGAGGAGTGATTTTTTAAAATATGTTGTTGAACACAATTGCTAATATTTATGATTTTCATATCTAGACTCATAATGAAATTATTGTGTTTTTTGTACTCTTAACATTTTGATATGAAGGTTATTCTAGCCTCATAAATGAACTTGATGAAAATTTCATCTTTTTTCACCCTGGCACAAAATAAGCATGCAAATTACTGTATCTTATTGAACATAGGGCCCGAGTATAGGATAATCCTCCCATTTTCTCAATGAGATTTCAGAAAATATTTTAAAATATATTTTAATATTTAAGCTTTAGGGATATAGATGGGATAATCAAATATCTACCCTTATTTTTTCATTAATTTAGTTATAAATATGTATTTTTAAATCATATGTAAGTAATGTTGGTTAAAAATATTGAAAACATATTTTTAAAATATATTAAATTTTTTCCACTTTTCAATTTTTCCCATGAAATAATTTTATTCAAACAGTTTACATAATCTTTGATGTTAGTATCTTCATTATCACTATGGCAACTTTTGATGTTTTGCTGTGGTCTTCCATAGCATATTATTACTTCCAAATATGTTGTTTAAGAGATAACATGTTTTGAATTCTTATTGATGCAGCTCTAGAAAATGTATCCAAAGCCATTGGCATAACCACAATATAATTTCCATTTGTCCGATAGATGTATATTTGTGATATCTATGATAAAATGATCTACTACTTTTTTTTTTTAATTTGCTTATAATGGCATCAAACTCTTGCAATTATGAGATTATATCTTCAGGAATATTAATAAAATGGTTTTAAATTTTTAGCCTCCTTTTTTTACTGATTTAATCACTGGCCTTTCTAACTTCAAATCTAAGATACTTCAGGCTAACATATAATGTATAACATATATGATACAACCTTGTAAGGTGAGTCCATGCATCACAACCATCTATCATATAACAGAGCTCAGGATAAATTCTACAACGGTACAGATATGGGTTAAGAAACAGGCTTACTGCTGGACAACTTAAAAGCAAGAATATTAAATCGAGGGAGATTGAATTATTTGCACAAGGCAAGAGCATACAGATTTGTGTTTATAACGCTAATTACTACTGGGCCATTAGGTATAGGTGTATTTGTGCTAAAAGTGTAATTATAATAGCCATTATTTTATGCCAGTTGGAAAATTTTAGAACTTTGTAAATAGATGATAAAGAGACAGGAGCCATTTGAATAGCTGGAAAAAAATAGCTACACTGTATTATTATCAGCAATAAAATGGTTTTCCTTTTTTTTCTTTTTAACAGAGTTCCTGTGCTCACAACTACCACAATTCAAAAAACGACGTCTAGTGTATGAAAAAATCCCTGGTAGAGCTGATGGACAGACTCGTCTGAGGTTTTATTGAAAAAGAAAGAATAGTGCTACATGTCACATTCCATTGTTTTGTTGATAACCCAGTGACAAAATGATTTAGATTTGGTCATACATTAAAGAAAATGCAATTGTTCTTAGATGTTCTCAGTTTCCAATACTAAATTTTCATAACATATATTCTGCCCTGTAATTTGCATTCTTTGTAAGTTAAATATTCTAATTAGCATGATTGCCTTAAGATCAAAATATCTCCACATTCACCTAAACATTGCAAAGTCTTCTTTAAAAGAAAGAAAACTTTATTGCATATAAAAGGCTTATGCAGTTGTCTTCTGAAGGGGCCTGCTGACTCCAGCTTTCCCCCAGCACCACTCTTACATGAGCCTCCTTTTTGGTCTGACCCTTTGAGGCAAGAAGTGACGATCACACCCTGACATGTGTGGCTTAGTGGGTTGGGCAACATCCCAAGGCGGAAGGTCACTTGTTCGTTTCTGGGACACATAGACAACTGACTCCTGTTTCTCTCACACATTAATGTTTCCCTCCCTCTCTTCCTCCCTTCCCCTTGCTCTAAAAATAAATAAATAAAATCTTAAAAAAAAATGAAGATCACCAGTAAGTCAATCCTCCACCACTAAGAAAGTTGAAACCTAAGGCAAAATTGAAGTTAGAGTACTTCCAATTTAAAGTATCTTTGTAAATAAAATTTTTAAAAAATTACTAAGAGAAAAAATTTGCAACCCACATAATAGAAAAAGGATTTACACTCCTAATATACAAAGAATTCCTACAAATTGATACGAAGAAGACAACAACCTAAGAGAAGAATGGGCAAAGTACATGAATAGATATTTCACAGAAGAAACAAAAATAGCCAATAAACATTTGAAACAATATTAGGCATATGGAAATTAAAACAATAAGTTATGGGGGGGGATCGTCTGTCAGATCAGCAAAATTTTTAAAACTCAAAATGTCCAAAATTCAGACCTTACCTTACTTCTCGCCAGCATTTGACACTGTTAATCACATCTATCTTTTTGAAATAGGTTCCGTTTGACTTCATACCACCTGTCCTGCCTGTCTCTTTCTGTTCTCTTTCTAGTAAAGTTTTATTTAGAGGCTGTTTGTTTTTGCTTGAATATGTAGGGAGTGGAGACATTAAGGAAAAACTATTCCGGGAAATCTAATTGGAATTTCTCTTCTACTTCAAGTTTTGGCAGGATCGCTCCTGAGGTGAGGCTAAGGCTTCCCAGAATGCATGTCTTCTTTACCCCATATTTAATCAGCTTCCCGAGGGGAGGAGTTTCTTCTCAGGCCACAGACTCGGGCAAGACTGAGAGGCGGAGCTTCAACACCTGCCTCCCGACTTCCTCACCGAACGGAGGGGAAGCCTCCCGGTGCCCCCGCGGCACTGCCCAGCGATGCTTGCTGACAGAGTACGCGAGCTGGGCTCCAGCAGAACACGCCCGGGGAGCGACTGTCATGCTAGAGGTTCAGCTGGTGCACAAGGGAAGCCTGAGGGTCTGGACTGGCCTTTGTGAGGGGCCAGAAGTGTCCGTGCCGCCTCCACGATCCTCTTCCAAACCCCCCATCACGTGGAATTGTTCCGAACAGCCCCAACTTCCCAGACTGGCTCTTGTAGTAAAAACTTTAATTCTTTCTCTGAGGGCATTTCATTTCTTTATGAGGTTTTCCACGTTCTAAGGGGAGTTACTTGCATTTAGATTCATTGCTGGTGCTAGTGATGCTGACCTTTGAGGTCTCCCGAGAGACCTTACTCCCAGTTCCGAGGCCCGCTCGAACTTTGCAGGCCTCACCAGAACATCACCTGTCTCTTCCAAGTGCGGATGGGCGTAAGATACTCCTTCTCTGTGCACGGAGACTCAGCGTACAACTGGGGATCAAGGCCAGGGTATTCCACCCCTTGCCTTCCATTGTAGGAGCCTGGATATTCTCCCCAAATATGGAGCCCCACCCTCAAACAAGGGGTCAACAAATGGTGTAACCTGAGTTGAAGCGGGTGGGGAGTGTAAACTGTAGCAATGCAAAGTAAGGGCTGGAAAAAATACGTTTTTCTGTCTTTTGCTTTTTTATTTGGCGTGTTGTTTTTACCACACAATAGTTACTAATTCAATGTGTAATACAAATTCCTTATTTAATTAGTTAGATTTATTTTTATATAGTTAAGTATATACATCTCTTCTTTGATTTTTGGGTTTCCTGCCTTGCTTGCTTAGGAAGACCTCTTTTACTCTAAAGTTGTATAATTATTATCCTAATTATTCTTCTAATGCTTTTGTATTATCTTTATTTAACCCATGTAGATTTTTTCACATAGTGAAATACGGGCCCAATTTATTTTCTTCCTAATGGATAGGCAATAATGGCAGCACCATTTATTAAGTAAATCATACTTTCCCACCAAATAGAAAAAAGAGTCAAGTCTATTTTTGAATGATTATGATCCATTCATCTATTTGCCTATTGCTACCCAACAATAATATTTTATTTTGGGTTTTTTCTAATTTTTTATTTTTTAAAATCATATTGTTTCAGCAAATTTAAAGTTTTAATAACTAGTAAGGCAAGCTTCACCCTTATTTCAGAACCACACACATATGCATACACACACACACACAGGATTTTAAAAACTATTCTTGGACACTTAATTTTTCCAAATGAACTTTTAGATATTTTAACCACTTTTCCTCAAAAGCAATAACATAGGAATGCCACTAAATTTATATGAAATTTATATTTAGTAAGATTACATTTTAATGAAATTGTGTTAATATCCTGCAATTTATTTAGACCCTGTTCTATAAACATCAATAAAACCTTTTCTTTATGGCTTGCAACTATCGTTAAACTTATTCTTGTTTTTTTTTTATCATTTTGTCATTTTGTCTCTTTTTTTATCATTTTGTCATTTTATCATTTTATCATTTTGTTGTTTTTTTTTATCATTTTGTCATTAAAGTAGAAATGGGATATGGTTTCCATTTCCATTTTTAACTAGCTATTGCCAGTGTAGAAAATGCTGGTTTTTCTATGTATACTTTGTATCCAGAAAGCCTCCAAAATTCTCTTACAAGTTTAAGTATTTCTTTCACTAGATTCTGATGAGTTTTCAAGGTGTACAATTATATAATCCATAAATATAGATGTTATTCCTAAAATGTTTACTCCATTTTTTTAATCTTACTGCATTACTTAATAATTCCAACCAATGCTGAATAGTGATAAAAGGTATTCTTGTTTTGTTCCTAATGTGCTGAAGGTTTTCACTTTCCACCACATAGTATAAAATGTGCTGTTGGTTTTGACCAACTGTCTTTATCATTAATTTCTTTCCACTCCTATTTCACTAATCCACTTAGTTTTTATTCAGAACAGCTATTGAATTTTATCAAAAGACTTCTTGGCATAGATGCTCTTCTTTAAAGCATTCATGAAATGAATTACATTGATAGATTACCTCATAGAAAAATAGCTTTATCAGATTGTATCTTTCTTGATATACTACTAAATTTTATTTGCTTATATTTAACATTTACATCTGTATTTGTGAGATATCTATAGTTTTCTTGCACTATCTTACCAAGGTTTTGCTAAAGAAAAAAGTAGAATAAAGAGAAGTTTTTTGTGGGTTTTTATTAACATACAAAAAGCTGTACATAATTGACGTATACAACTTGATGAGTTCGGAGGTAAGTGAAACCACCCTCACGATCTGTGCCCTGATCCTATCCATCACTTTCAAAAGTTTTCTCCTTCCCTCTCATTACTTTTTGTGATAAGGATAGTTAACATTAAATCTACCTTCTTAGCAAATTAAGTATACACGTACAATACAGTATTGTTAATTATAGGCACTATGCTCTACACCAGGTCTCCAGGAGGTATTCAACTGGTAAACCAAAATTTGTTTGTTAATGGAGATTTCTTTAAATGCTATTGTTAAGATGGAGAATGGAACATGTTTAAAAACTGATAGAAAAGATCCAGTGAAGCAGGTTGAAGCAAAGGAGAGAAAGGATAATTGATAGTGTGACATTTCAGAGAAGGCGAACAGATCCAGAGAACAAACACAAGGGTTGGAAAGGGATGCCTGAATTGTGGTCAGATGAAAGGAACTCGGGTTGCTTGGATTTGAAAGTTTAGTGGCCAGAAGTGAAGGGAGTTCCTACCTAACGGCTTCTATTTGCTCTACCGTAACAATATCTATGCTCAAAAATATTTTATTTATTTATGGTCTTATGCATAGTTATTTCAAGGGCAAATGTTGTCGGCAACCCAGTTATTTCTGTATGTTATACATATATCTATTTTTATAAAATTATACACATACTTATAAACTTCACCTCCCATTTCCGGCACTCAGTCTCACAAGCAAACAGAAATTCATGAAACCCTAAGACAAAATTAGACACGAAATGTTGCTGTTGTAGAAAATGATGAATTAAACATTTTATTTCCAAGCTCTTCAAAGATTATTACAAACACCAAGTATCCTCTTAAAAGTGTCTCAAATTACATTAAAGGCACATCATCAAAGTAAAACATGACATTAAGAATTAATTTAGGTTATAAAATTTCCACATTACTTTGTTTTCAATCACTTGCAATGTTCTGTAAGTCATATTTTAAATGTTTTTTAAAGACATGAAATAATGTACTATTTTTTTAAAGTACAACCGCAACTATGAGTTAGAGGAACTTAAGAAGACAAAGATCAGATATGCTTCATACACAGAATGGGGAAATCTAATGCACGACACATTAATCTTTCCAACAGGGTTGCTAAGAAACAGCTTCCATATTTAGTGTTAAAAATCACAAAAATCAAGATATCATTTGATTAATAAAGCCTATTCTTCCCACACCTTTACACTGGCTTATCTTCATTTAGAAATTGTAAATTCATGAGAAAAGGACAAATTTTGTAATGGCGTAAAAATCTTGGGAATAAGAAATTTCAAATATTCAATTTTTTAATAAACAAAAATGGTTTCCTTTCCAAAATGTAAACATCCAGTAAATAAAATATACATAATATTCCAGGTATAGAAACACTAGTAATTCCCTTGTGAAAGAGGTGCATTTCTGTATATTTGGTGGTGAGGTTTTTGTTTGTCTTAAGTACAAAGCACTTCACCAAAAAAACTGGGCCATGATTATTTAAAAGTCTACTCCTTCACCCAGTTTCCTTATTTGAGTTGAAACTCATCAATCTCTGTAGAATTTTGGTTATAGGAAGAGGCCACTGGGAAGGCCTGAAATACCCAAAGCTGATTTGGTTAGATACAAATGCTTGCTTGAGACTTGGAGGCAGCCATTCACCACTTGGCACCTGAAGGTGGTCCTTGGCCAACTGCTTTCCTGCTGGAGAGAGAATTTGGTTAATTTCCACTTTAGTAAAATTTATACATAAAATTAACTAGTAAGCATTTCTTAGCACACTTTAGTATTCTCAAAGCAGAGAGTAACAAGTTAAAAAAAAAAAATCCAAACCACACTATTGTAGGAGTAGCACCCATAAAATTGCTCTGTAAAAAGAGAAATGTTATGCTAGCACAAAACTATTACTTTAATACCTCAAATGTGGGCATTTTTCATTAAAAGGTATAACAGTGCCTGACAGTATAATTTGAAATATGTTGGCCCCAAAAGACTCCAATAATCTACTCCCTGAACTCTTCCAAAAATGAAAAAAAAAAAAGGAAAAATATGAATGAGACCCAATACAATGCTTTAGAACCCATGAAATTTCTAATATGCCACCAAAAAGATGTTTTCATTTCAATAATTGGCCTTTAAAGCTTTTTTACTCCAACTCACACTTTCCCCCAGTAGTTACATTAAAGCTTCCTCCATTAAAACAGAGACATATTCTGAAAGCCTTTAGGAAAGAAATCACAGCTGGCAGCAGGAATAAGCCTCCCTTCCAGGGGAGTACTTAGTACCAAGTCAGTTGGTAGCACCAAGCAGCAAATGACACTTCTGGGATAGTGTGAGGTCAGGGGGAATAGGATTAAGTTCAACACATTACCACCAGCCAACTCAGTTAAAGAGCTCAAGTATATAAGGACATTAACATGTTATGAGTTATTGCCAAGGAGGATTGAGACTCTCTTAATTAGATGTTATCCACAGGCAGGGTGAATGCAACCAGGAGTCACCCTTCCAGGATAGTTGTGCATTTTGCTGGTTTTCATTTTCATTCCCCCAAGAATAGTGGATATTCAAAACAGCCGCCCAGGTCCTTGGGGAAGCCCTGTGACAGCGCTGTGGCCTCAGGCCGGCGTGGTCTACACTACTCACCAGTGCTCAGAGTAAAGCACAGGATCTGGGCTCCCGGAAGGGGTTGCTTCCCGCCGGGACGCCGACCAGCAGGGCGTCCTTGCAGGCATTCTGCATGCAGTACTGTTGAAGCTCTGCAGCCGCCTGAGAGACCTGAAACCAAAGGACAAGAGCTTGACACGCTGCTCACACCCAGATCCACCCCGCAGCCATCTGATATTCTAAAAAACAATCACATAGTCTGAGCACACTTTATGTGACCTCCCAAAGTCCCTGTTTTGCTGGAAGGTCTAATAATGAACTTCAAATAGGAAAGGCTACAATTTCTATGAATTCTGGTTTAGGAAATTTTTGGTTAATTGCTTATTCAACGAAAGAAGGAAAAAGCAGCGTCTCTGATCTATTTCGAATCCTAGTTCTGAGACTCAGCTGGTAAAGAAATAGCTTATTCTAGTGTTCCCTTTACAAATTTTTATGTGTAGAGTATGCATTGATATATCCACGTTTCCTATGTGAGCAAACTGCTTTACTGTATGTATACAAGGCCCAAGTCTTACCCAGCATGCTCAAAACAAGCAGCAAGAGTTCTTCCTCCTTGCTCTGAAGCAGGATAGCTTTTGGTTAACAGAGTAGCCTCTGGAACCAGACTGGTCTCAAATTCAGCTGTGTCACTATCTCTATGAACCTGGGCAAGTTTCTTAACTTCTCAGTACCTGTTTTCTCATCTGGGAAATGTATTTAGTAACAGTATCTTCCTCACTGGATTGATGTACCAAATGAGTTATCGCATGCAAAGCACTTACAATAGTGCTGACACATAATTAGCAGTACATCTGTGGCAGAATGCAGAACAGCACAATATTCTGCAACTCCTCCCACCAAGGGCTGGAGTCTGTTTACCCACTGCTTGAACCTGGGCTTTAGACTTGCTTTGACCAGGAGAATGTAGTAGAAATCATGGGCAACTTCCAAGCCTAGACTGTAAGAACCTTTGCAGTTAACTCTCTTGCTGTGATTAGAACCCTAAAATCACTACCTAAGCTAGTGAGACCAAACTAGACAACTGGAGATTTTGTGGAAGAGAAGCAATCAGTCAGCCCTCCGCGACCTGCTTACCAACCTCCAGATACATGAGTGAGGCCACCAGCCAACCCTCCATTTGATATCTGGTGCATGGGACAGCCCGGCAAAGATCAGCGGAACTATACGGTTGAACCCAGCTCAAACTGCTGACCTAAGACTGTGAGCTAATAAATGTTGTTTTAAGTCACTAACATCTGGAAAAATTAGCTGATTCAACATTATGCTGCATCTCCTCTTATCCTCCATTTGTTGCACCTTTGTACTTGGAGGCTCTCCTCACTTCCCATTTTTCTTGCATTGAAAAGACATTTTGTTTAACAACTCACCTATATTTGTACAAACATGATTCCAATTGCTGTTCAAGTAGTACTATCATTTTGTTTTAAGTTTCCAAGCTTCCAAATAACTGGAACATCAATTCCTTATGTTACAGCTACTAGCTAGTTTCTAGAATGCTTGTAGGAATTTTGGTTTCATTAATGTAATGACCATTAATGTTATGTAATATAAATACATAATATAATATTGACTGAATAATGTTTAAGATTATTTTTCCCTCAACAAAAGATGTCATTTTCATTATAATTGGAATTAATGGCTATATAGAACAGTTGTTAATTCGAAAGAAATTTGGAACCACTTATGCTCACGCTTATTATCTCTGTAGCACAAGGGACAGGTGAACCCCACACATGAGTGGAAGGAGACTGTCCCAGGACCCCTTGAGAAATGGAACTAACTGAGCCCTAGCCTAAACAACATGGGCCAAAAGTTAAGGTGAGAGGACATGCAGAGAAAACAAAAGACGTCAGCATTTCTCTAGCACTTTGGACTGGGAGAATTCAAACCTGGAACCAACACCTGGAAGCTATAGCCTGCTATTGGAGGCAGGATAATGTCCACCCAGGTTACATGACTTTCCTTGGTTTGAGCCCATGTCCACCCAGCAACTTCTGAGAGGCTTCTCCAAAGCAAAAAAAAAAGGGGGGGGGTTCTTGGAAGGATAGAGAGCGTCGCAGTCACTGGGAAGGGATGCTCAAACATTGGCGTCCTGGTTTATTTACCGGTGAGCAAGCCGGTGAAAGAGAAGACATCTCTGGATGGGCTGGGAACATCCACCCCTGAGCCCTGACATGAGGAGACGGGGCCTTGGACTGTGTGACTCCCTGAGGTGCTGACTGTGAGGAGCCCTGCCAAGCTCCCCAGATCATGCTACACGAGGACACCCCTCAACTAAGTTTGTTATCTGAACAATTCACTCAAATTCTCTAGGTCTCGCTTTCGTCATCCACAATTACGTTTTAAGTGCAGATAGGAATATGTCCCCTAGCTTCTTCATCAGGCCAGCAGGCATCTGGCCCAGGTTTCCTTTCCCCCTCGGCCTCAACATCATCTTCAACACTTCCTCCAACCTACTTTCAGTTCCCTGACCGCCTTCCTCTCCTCGGTGCCAATAGTTACAGCCAAGGCCTGTTAACTGCTCCACGTCTGAAACTCTACACTCCAACATCCTATTTTCTGATCGCAATCTCCCCTCCCCGTCCAGGGCGCTGCTTTCTAGTCTCTCTACACCTGCTCTTTGATCTCAGGCAGAACCCCACCTCCCCTTTCCTCCAGCCCATGGCCTGGACCCTTGCTCTGTCCCTTCCCTACCCAGCCCAGATTCAGCCTCTTTCTGGGGAAACCCTCAAACTCCTCACCCCCCGCTTCAGCTTCCGTCTCTCTGGCATACCGCCCCTGCTCATCCACCAAGTGGATCCACTACCGCTCACCATGGGCGCTCAGGTTTCTGGGGGTTCCAAATGCTGCCTGAGGGAAGGACATCACAAGCAGGGCGACCAGTCTCAGCTCTCAGGGCAGCTGGGTCTTTGAGTCACCAGGTGTCTACGGGCTTGACTGCAAGGGGATCCCCGCCCCCACCCCGTTCCTGACAGCAGTGCCTGTCCGCCCCTCCCTCTGGTGATTCTATTAGCTCCCCTTCCTCTGCCCTAGAAGAAAACTTGGCCTCCTATTTCACAAAGAAAACTGTCACCATACAAGTCCTTAAGTCCATAGCTAGAAGCATCTGGACCCCCTTTCTTCCTGTCTCAGAGGCTGCCCCTCCAATCCCAGGCCCAGGAGAACAGAGAGACCCCCCCTTTCCTCTCCCTTCATCTCTCCTCCATTTGTTCTTTCTCCTCAATCTCAAACATGGCTTTTTGTTTCCTAAATTTTTGTTTAAAAGTTGTTTCCTCTTGAAAAGAAGATTCCTTTTTTTTTCTAAAAGTCTGCATACCTAGTTACAATCTTGATTCTGCTCCTAATACTACTGAAATGTCTTCTGTATTCCCTAACTCCCTCTTTATCTTGTTTTATAATCTTCACATCATTTACTGTCTGAAATAATTTCATTTATTGGTGAATGTGTTCACTGTTTATCTTCCGCACTAGAATCACCTTATTCTCGGCATCTAGGAGAGCACCTGATTCAGAGAAAATGCGCTAGCATCTTCTGGATGCTAACATGGACTAGCATCGCAGCGCGCATGGGCACAAACGTACACTCGACAAACAATGCTCTCTGTATTCGTTGCTAAACACAACTGCACAGCAGATGCTCTTTTTTATTGCTGGTGCTATTCCAGATGTCACCCATCCCCCCTCACGCCCTCTCCACACCCCGCCCTAACCACAACTATATTGCAACAGATGCTTTTTAACCAACTGACTAAACAAACACTGGACATGTTGACTAGGCCCCAAGTTTTGTTCAGTAACCTTGTTTTCTCTTGGTTTTCTCCTCTCAGCCACCTCTTTGGGCTGATCCGCTCCCTGGGTTCCATGCTCTGGTCGCTTCACTAACGCATCTTTTTCACCCCTATACGCGTATTACAATGACAGCTTCGCTGTGAGCCTCGGCCCGTGTTGCTACATACTTTCTGGACTTCTCAAAGTCGACGTATTGAAAACTGAACTCATCATCCCGACACCCTATGTTGTAGCAAATGGCCGGGCCATCCGTCCTGTCACCAGGCCAGCAACCTGAGCATCGTCCCTCTCCTCCCTCCCATCCGTCATCCAGGCCCGTCCATTCATTCGGTCGCCACGGCATCTCTGGCCTCCACCCTCGCGCACCAGCCGAGTCCAGGCCACCAGTCCGTGGCCTGCGTCGCTGGTCAGCTCGCGTCTGTCCCGCTCCGCTCCAGCCCCGAGTCACTGTCCCCTTTACCGAAATGAAGACGTCCGGGGAGCACTCTGTCCCAGACCACCCCCGCGGGGACAACAAACTGTTTCCCTGGGAGCACCAGGCCGGCCTCTTTCCCTTTGGGTCCACGTCCCCGCCGCTCCCGGGCTCCGGGGTCCGGCTGGGCCCTGCGCGGGCTCCCATCCCTCCCGAGCCAGGGCCCTGCGCGCCGTGGTCCCGCCGCCCACCGAGCCCGCGCCGCGCCGCCCCGCCCTGCCCCGCGCGGCCTCTCCAGGGGCCTGGACGCCCGTTGGCTCGCGTTCGGCCTGCGCAACGGCCGCCGGCCTTGGCCCTCAGACTCGCTCCGCGCCCGGAGGAGGCGCTCCCGCCAGTCTCACCTTGATCCTCTCCACGGCGGCCTCCAGCTTAAGCTGCTCCACCAGGCGATGCAGGGCGTTCACACTGGCCCCGGAGGACATGGCGGCGGTGCTGCGCTCCGAGGCTGGTGAGCTGCGCTGGCCGAGCTGCGGGCCCGAGCGCCGGCGCCTCCCGGGGGCGGGGAAGCAGATGCGCCCGCCCCGCCGCCGCTGCCAGGCCGCGCCCCAAGGGGACCGGTACCACAGGTATGCGACAGTTTGGGGTCCCCAACGGACACACGAATCCCCACTCTTACTGCATTCTAAACGCGGGCAAGACCTGCATCTACCGCTGTGGTCGGAGCCCCGACGTGGGGCCCGCACCGGGGAGCACGTCTCCACCTGGCAGGTTAATCTCAGTACATTTTAGAGATATCAGTGTCCTTGCAAACACAAACATTTCACTTGTGTCCCTGTTATCATCTGTAATTCTTCACTTCTTTTTTACAAATTTTATTTATTTTTAAAGAGAGGGGAAGTGAGAGAGAACATCGATCGTTCTCTCGCACACGCCTCAACCTGCAACTCAACCAGCGGACCCAACCGGACACCCAACCGACCACCTATCGATTTACAAGATGACGCCCCCCTAGCTGAGCCGCGCAGGTTGGGGCTTCACTTCTTTGACATGTATTTTTGTCACCTTTTTACTAACAGTAGGTTATTTTTTCCAGAAAAAGGGGCTGTAAATCACTCTTCCCCATAAAAATAATGAAATGGGGAGGTGTTTCTTCCAATGTTATAGCAAAAATGGCAGTAATATATCCTTTTGGTGTTCTAAAATGATTAAAAATAAACAGGAAAACACATTAAGAACTACATTTAATGTGACACCATAATGTACCATAAAAAATTATTTCACTTCCTTATACCCATTGCATTATTTTTAGAACTTAGCAGAAACCAGGAGCTAAAGACTTGCCAGGAGGCTTGTGGATTCAGCTTCTCCAGATTTTCACTGACTGAGACTTTTGGACATGGTGGAACTGAGGGCTACCTGGTGTCCTTCAGAGCGGTGAGCCCAAGCATGCCCGTTCATCTCATTACAAGTGTCCCTTCAGCAAATGTGGGCCTTAAACTAGTGAGTAGCCGACTATTCTGTTCTCTGAAGCTCTTTCCTGAATTGTCATCTCAGCTCCTTCACCTCAAACACCAAAGGCAACAGGAGGCAGGCAGCTGCTTCTGAAACACACACTCTCAACCCTAAGAAGCCTCCCTCTTTTTTTCCCTCTAGCACAGTACCTTGAACAAGGTAAGGAATTCAAACACCTCCTACAAGAATAAAGAAACACAGGTTTTAACACCATCAGTAAACACTCGATCACCACAGATTTTAACAAATGAGAATGAGTCCTGTTCCCTCTGAAGGCAAGGGAACCCATTTTCTGAGCACTTCGTATGCCAGGACTTTCCCCCTCTCCTAATTCTTATAATCTATGAACTAGTTAGTAGTCCTACTATTAAAAAATGAAAAATGAGGTCCAGAGGTTAACCTGCCCAAATGGAGCTACCGGTCAGCGGCAGAGCCAGACACCAGACCTTGGTCTGCTGGCTCTCAAGTGGGAGCCCTCCTGCTGCTTCCTGCTCACTCCTCTCGGGGTTAGAGGAGGAGAGACTGCTGAAGGGGAAATTCCTCCAACCCCTGCTGAAACCCCAGAGGAGTCTGTTGGAAACCTTATGGCATTGACCTAAGGCCAGGTGACCCATTCCACACAATCAAGGATACTCTGAATCTTTGAAGTACTAAGAAGCTGATTAAAGTGTACAACTAATTGTGCACGTTTTAAATTAATTAACCATAGCATTTCTCAATTTCAGGCAATCTAATCTACTTCAGACCCTAAACGTACATGAACGTGCAGACTTACAGAGTTTTAAAACCTAATTATCTAAAAAGATCCTCTCGTTTCACAGATGAGGAAACTAGAAAGGTTAAATAATTTGTTTAGCAAATTTTAGTTAGTTGGTTAGCCAGATTTGGCCTTAGCCCATATTCAAATGTGCAGAGTATCATTTTACCAAGAAGATTTATAGTTCATCCATACACAACTAATTTGTATGAATAACATTTATCTGCCTCAAAGGTACAATTATAACTCATCGGAGATCATGTCTGATACTGTCTTAAAGTAACTAGATCTATTTATACTAATGTCTAATAAAAGGCACTTCTCTTTAATTTCCACAGAACTTTCAGTTTGGGGCCAGGAAACTGGTTCATAACTCTAGTTGAATGTGAACTTAGCAATGGCTTCCACTTAACCAAAATTAGCTCCAAAGTTTGGGTATCAAAGTTTACTGCCTTTTCAGTCAAACAAAACCAAAAAAAGAATCTCAAAGGAGATGAACTATGATTTTTCTAAACATAAATTCAATGGTACTAAAATATTTGCTAATTCTTCCATTTCAACTATTTTTTCATGTAATATTTTAAAATCATATACACCAATTAAAGTGTTTAAGATTCAGGCACAGTACCTACCTAACAGATGTGTAATGAAACAGCAGCCTATGATTTATAGAGCTTAGAGAATTCATAAGGAAATAAGACCAATGAGGAAAGAGTTAGTAGTGAAATCTGTTACGAAAATTTAGACATGAATATAACCCTAAGAGTAATTTTAGCACAGATCTCAATTATATGAAGTAAAGATAACTATGTGCTATGAACTCCTGAGTACCAGGTATGAAAAGGAAATGGTGATGGCCCTAAACTTAAGCACAAGAAAAATGTTCTAACTGGTGGGGCTATGGGATCCTCTACCCAGGATTCTTCTCCAGGTATTTCTAAAATACCTGAGGAGAGAACCACAGTCCTTCCATTAAGAAGAGTCCACTCATCTTGACCCATGCAATGACCATGATTCCAAAAGACTGACCAAATTTTTACCAAGTGAGCAGACTCCTAGGACAATTCCAGAAATGAGATTTCTAGAAAGCCAGGAAGAAATACTTCAATCTAGCAAATAAGCAAAAATGACATCCAAAGATACACTGTTTTTATCAGCTAAACTTTATGAGTGCTAACATAGACAGTCCTCTTGTTTTTTCTTGTTACTAGCTAAAAGATACCTAGAATACCACAAATTTCCTTGGAATTTTAAGAGGGGCAAGTACCTACATTTCTTTTTGGTCCTTATAACATATGGTACACACATCTGTTCTTAGAGAAATACTATTGTGCATTAAGCAGATAATGAATTTTAAGAGATGGGTTGCCAGCTCTACAGCCAGCCACAGCCCCTTTGAAAGACATTTAAAAGCTGGGCATTTGAGGTTTGAAACAGCTTCCTTTAATTTAGTTCTGTAATTTCTCCACCCTTCTAAAAAAGAAGAGATGCATAAAACACTTTTATCTAAAATTTATAAAAATATAAATATTGTATCATTTCAGAATTTTATATCTGTAAAAGTGCCCTAATGATAATCTGGTCAAATTCCCACAAGTTTCTAATGAGGCAATTTATTAAAAACTCATTAAGTTTCTCACTTCAGTTCTTCATCTATATTAGCAGGGACAGGATTCTTCCCTCTTGCTCCTCTGTGCACGTCACATATTTGGGTTCAGCTCCTGAAAGGACTAGTTCATTTTTAGTTACAAACAGACTCTGCATATCTACTATCTATACTAAGCCTTTAAAATTATATCATACAAAAGCAGGATGTTAACCTTCGATTTAAAATGTCATATCAACAAACCTGATATATTGCAACCATTTTATTAATATGAGGCAATGGGATAAATCCTTTAACAGGAATCTAAAATAAACAAACAAAAAACACAGGAGCTCTGATCACTACCATGAATGTGTATTGACACCTTGGCGCAGTATCATACTTGCTTCAAATTATGTGTGAATTAGTTCCACTTCCACATCTGAAACGTTCATATTTCATTGTTTGAAAGAACAGCACACAGCCAGTCAATTCCTTTTTCTGGTTTAAATGCATGTAAATGAATTCATGTACAATGGATTTCTTTTCACCACTCAAGGACTTCATAATCTATGAACAGCTTTTCAGTACCCTATTTCTGCTTCATCTTTTAAAAATTGAAGTGATACAAAAGACCTTTTTTCGAGGTCTCTTCTGGAAAAATGTTTGAAAACAGTTATAGTCCTAAAATGACTGCAATCAAGATTATCCTACAAGGACATGACTGTAGATTCACTCTCCTGGAGAGTTTCTGATCTTATTAAGAATATTGTGACTGGGGGGAAAAGTAAAAAGACATTATGACTGGGGAGAAGAGTAAAATGGCATTCTAACAGAAGGCTCCCTCAGAGAGAGATTTTGAACCTATTTCAATCCTAGAATGACTATAATGAAGACGATGTGATACTGAAATCATTTTGTTGAAGTCTGTGTCTAGAAGACACTCAGAATAATATAATTAAATGCTGTTTTAATTTTTTATGTTTTGCGAAAATATCAGAGGCCATGAAAGCAGAAGAATGTAGCACTATAACAAAAGGGAACACGTTTGAAGAATGAGCGCTTGACCCATAAAATTTTCAATGGTATCTAATACATTTTCATGTCGAATCTTTTAACTAAACATATAAAATTTTTAAATGGCAACTAATAAATCTTCATGTCAAATCTTTTAACAAAATCCACAAATAGATTATAAAAATTGAAGAATCATAAATGTCGTATGTATAAAATTTTAAGATAAAGTTTAAATTTCTTCATTATTCTGTTTAATCAGATACTTGGGGGAATTTTAGTTCCTGCGGAAGGGCAGTTGATACATCTCTAAAATAATTCATTTATGAAAATAACACCATAATCAAGGTTTGGCATAGCAGCATTCCAGGAATTGCTACTCGTCCACAAATGTCAGCCGTCCGGGCCCTTCATTCTTCATCCATCTCCTGTATCTCTTCCATCGAGGGTCATTTGCTAACTTTTTCTTTAGTTCTTCTTCTTGTTCTTGTTTGTAGACCTATGAGTACAAATGACACTAACTGACTTTATAATCCAAAGGGAAACGTTTGTTACTAGCTTTATGGTGTATTTACATTTTTCAAAAATAAGTTTAGGTAAAAGTGACCAGTGAATGCATTGGTCTGTCATCTCAAGACCACGCACTAAAAACAGTAAGCAGTTGGGCACCTTAGCATTCGGTGATCAATACAAAAGAACAGCGTGTACCAGGACTAGTAATTTTTGTGGCCAATTTCTGTAACCTGGGAATACATGCTTTCCCTCACTGAAATCATACTTATGCTGAGTTTAAAGGGTTTAAACACTTCCTCTCTACAATTAATGTCCAATATTAAAGAATCACTTTATTTTTATTTTTATTTATATAAATTTAACTGGTGGCTTTCGGTATTTGTTGATCCTAACCAAGGAACAAAATGACCTCCTATATACATCTGTCTCCAAACGGAACTTACATCCACTTTTATCTTTAAAGATAATTATTGGTTTTTCAAAATATTTTATTAAATTTACCAAAGAAAGTTAAATAAACCTCACAGGTTAAGAATAAAACATAGGCATTTCTGGAAATTTTAGTGGATGTCAGCTGAGGCCAAATGGACAAGTTTTCATAGCCAGTCTCACAGTCACATCAAGTTTTAGAAAGAAATTATTTTACTTCCAAATTTTAGTAAGTAGTGACTAAGATAACCTCATACAATAACATAATTCAGCCCAGAACAGTACTCGATGAAAGACAGAGTTTTGTGGATTAGGCTGCTTAGCCTATGTAAAAAGAAAACTTTTCAAATCATTTAGGAGCAAAAGAGCATATTACCTTCCATTCTTATCTTATTGATAAGCAGGCTGAGTATATTCACTTGACAAAACATTCTAGCAATTCATAGTGAGTTACGTTACTTAAATAGAATTCAAACTGAAACTTGATTTTCAGTAAAATCTACTTAGGATACTACATATAAAAAGGAATGTCTATGAAACTAAAAAAAACAAATATAGCTCAGACTTCCTAGGAAGGTTTCACTGTTCTTTATTCTTACATTTAATATATTAACCAATTAATTTGACCCAAAACCTAAAATAACATTATGGTGAGATTACTAGTTCCCTTAGGACTTTAGCTAGGCAGCCAATCACCTCAAAGTAATTGCTGTAGCTGACAACTGTAAAATATTGCATTTATTAAAATGCTCAAAGTTTAGAGACATTACAATAAGTCAATTTAATTTAAAAATAAAAGTAACTTTTCATACATATGTTAGTTATTATGTAGAAGATTCTATGCTCATTTTATTTTGAAATGAAGTTATTCAACAAAATTTCTGTCTCTTATTCTTTTTTTTTAAATCTATGTGGCTAAATTTACATGACTGGAAGGAACTGTGGGAAAGACCAAATTTTAGTGAGTGCAATTAACGGGAAGTTGTGACCCCCTTGCAAATTTACATTATTCTCCCATTGCACTTTAACACGACAAATCAGACCATTCATAACATTTTCAGCATTGGTCAATTAAAGTATTTAAAACTCAACTTTTAAAAAGACAAATTACAGGTTAAAAATCCACTGTCCCACTACCAAATGTAGTCATGCTTTCCAGAAAAGTAAGATCTTTATCCATTATTTAGGTCTTGGGTTTCAGAAATCTGAGCGTACTTCTGCCGTCCCTTAGCATACACCTAATTTTGCCTTGGTGAGGAAGATGACCCAAAGTCACAGCAGACCAATTACTCACCTCATAATTCTCCTTTATCCAGAGCTCCCGTTTAAGAAAAGTTTCTTTCTGATGATCTTCTAGACTATCAAACTGAGACTTTGACATCTTCATAGATTTACGTATAAGATACAGTCTTTCTTCTTCCCCATATTCTTTGCCTTTGATATTAAAATTATAGATCCACCGGCAATACCAGGCTACATATGAGCACAGGTGAAAAGGAGCTAAGAGGATTTGAAACAGGAGAAGATCACGTATCTGGGGCTTCTGATAGCCTCCCTTTATATCGATTTTACTTTTTATAATGTTCTTTATAATATTCTCCTCCTCATCACGAATTTCCTCTTTGGATTTTTTGTTTCTGCCCTTCTCTTTGGCTTTTCTGAGCAGCCCTTGCTGCTTAGCAATCTCCATGGCTTGGATACGGTACTTGGGCACTGTGGCCAGGTAGCTGATTGCCTTGTCGTAGCTATTCCACCAGCTGAAAAACTAGAATATTTAACAAAGAAAAATGGGTCATTTTTATTACCAAAATTCATCTTGGTGAGCACTACTGCCTCCCAACCCATTCTGATTAAAAACAGGGAACTCAATCATCTTACTCTGTAAGTAAAAGATAGAACTGAATAATGCCTCTGTGAACAAGGCCAGATAAGTCAGGTAAGCCCTGAGTGGGGCCAAAAAGGTATTAAATCAGACAGAAGATACCAAAGATCAGAGGACAGGTTGATATAATCACACACCAGTGATTTCACATCTTTACTATGTGGCCCTTCCCTAGATCACTATTAAGATATCTCTCTTGGCCTGGCTGGTGAGGCTCAGTTGGAGCATCATCCTGTTGACTGAAGGGCCGTGGGTTCGATTCCCAGTCAGGGCACATACCTAGGTGATGGGTTCCATCCCCAGTCGGGGTGCATACAGGAGGCAATCAATTGATATTTCTCCCATCAGTGTTTCTCTCCCTCTTTCTCTCCCACCCTTCCCCTCTCTCTAAAATCAATAAGCATGTCCTCAGGTGAGGACTAAAAGCAAAAAAGAAGAAATCACAGGATACAGACTCAGGCAACTATATTCATTCCTATCTCTTCCATAAACCCTCTACATATACCATAGTTAATGCTCATCATATTCTGGACTGAAAGATTCAAATATGTTTGAACTCTTTACTAATTTAGACAGGAAAACATCTAACTTATTTCATAAATATATTAAACCACAAAGGGTTTTATTAATTGTCAGAGAAAGTCATATTCCTCACATTTCCATACATTTCATTTGCTGTTTTATGGAATGAATATAGCAGTTACACCAATACTATCCTGAAATATTATATTAGCAATCTACTAGGAATAGAAAGAAAAAATATATATAAATGTATGTATAAGAAAATATAAAATAACTAGGGGATTATATTATCTAAAACAGAAAAGTAAAATTATCCCTCATCAAAACTTCTACAAAAGGTGATACATTTAATATATACAATCTATAGAAGTTTTCAATAGAAATTCTTTTCTTATATAAGTTGAATCTCGTTTATGGAAATTAAATTCAAGAAGCAGTTTTCAAACTAACAAATTGCTGTATCCTAGCCCCTTGGTATGTTCTTGTCCCCTAAAGGAGGGCATGATGGCACTGTGGTTAGTTTAAGAATGGTAGGTAAAACTCATTTCAGGCTGCAGTTAAATTTTTGTGATATTTTAAGAACAACATAAAAAATGAAACTCTTTTAATCTATGTCAGTGGTTCAGCCTGAGCAGAAGCGCCCTCCGCAGGCAGGTGGAATGTGTGAGATGCCTGTGGTGGTCACAACGGTGGCGAGCACCACTCCCCGTTGGTGGGCAGGTGCCAAGATTTCTTAGTTCATGTTCAGAAGTTCGGATTTTTCTCAAGTTTAATGGAAAATTATTGAAAAGTTCTACAAAAGTAAATGATATGATCAGGTAGGTTGACATTGAACCTGGCTGTCATGTGGAAACTACACTAAAGGAGGCTATGAGAGAAAGATCCATTGTGTTTTCTTGGTAGTTATAATAATGACAGTCATCAATTTCTTGGATTTCCCACTGATAAAGATTCTGATATTATCATTGGTTGAAAAAAAAAGCATATTTTTCCAATGTAAAAATATCTCAACTGGAAGTAAAGCTTTATGAAAAGGTACTTCTAGTTCAGTTTTAGTGACTAGTGCTAGGTGCAATGTACACTCGAGCGCATGCATGTCGAGACACATATCCATTAATACACACCTGGAACACTGAAATAGCACACACACTGGCCAGAATCACAATTCTGACATCCACTGTGGGAGCTAAGCGCCTGCTGTAGTAGTGGTAGTAATGGCTGTAGTACTCGTCTGGGTGATCCAGCATATAGTCATAATCTTTTCGTGTTTCTTCATCCTGGAAAATAACAAGATCTCCAATTTCACAGACATTTCCTAAAATGGCCTTAGTGTATACTCTGTTGAGTCAAATCTAGAATTTTATAATTCTGTTAAGGTTAATCTGAGTAAAAGCACTGGAACTGTCAAAATAAAAAAATTTCCCATCCTTCTTCAAAGGCACACATTAATTTATTTCCAGAACTTTATGTTCACTATAAAGCATAATAAAAAATACTTCCCTGTATTCTTCAGTATTGTTAGGCCTCCTGGAAAAATAAAAACACTTTAATAACAATTAATGATGCCTTTTTAGCCAGTGTTATGCTAGTAAGGATGTCTTCTTCATGTTCTTATAACTTAAGAGCACATTGACACCTACTCTCAATAACAGTTGATAGGAAAAAATGTTTATATTCATTGTACGTATTCACAATCATTTTCCAGCCTTAGGGAGAAAGTTTTCTGTTGAAAGCAATGATTAAGGTAACAAAAAGCAGACAAAGCCAGTCTGTGCCTACAAAACTGAATTATGCTCATCTCAAAGAAACGTCTATGCAGTATAATGGCCGAAGGCTAGCTTTGGGACTTTGGGTAAAATTTTCAGCCTCTTTGAGCCTCACCGTTTTGTTTTTATTTTGTTTTTTTTTTTTTGAAAATAGAGATAATAATACCTGCTCTACTAAGTTTGGGTTGTTCTGAATACCAAATGACATACAATATCCAAAAACATGTTACAAATACACAGTGTATTACCTTTATAATACCTTGTCACAGCCCAGTTCATAAATATAGTAACATGTAAATCTTTCTTCATCATACAAACATGTTGAAAAAATTATAACACCCTGAAATGCTGCTCTGTTTACAAATGTTCACACATAAAACATTTCTTAAAAACTTCTCTAATTTTAATCAATTTCTAACAGGGATAAATGCCAATCTTTTATTGAGCTATATCAGCTGAAGAGCTAGTAAACTAGGTTATGAATTGCTTTTTATCACTCAGGTAACCTATTTTGTCTTGTGTCCGAAAAAATGTTAAAGACTAAAAACACAACAAATCCTTTATTCTCCATGCGTAAACAGAAACCATTATGAAAATAAAAATCTAAAAATCACCTAGAGGATTTCTTTTCTTTAGGATGAATTATTCAATGCCCACAAAATTGCAGATTTTTAGGCAAAGCCATTTCAAAATCTATACTTAGTGCTCCACTACCACAAGCGGAGGTTCTGGGGGCAGCTCAGGACCTTCTCCTGAGTCCTCCAGAAGGCAGTGTCATAAGCTTCAAACAAGAAGTTTGCTAATGACAAAAATCTCCCCTGTACCCATTAATATCATTAAATATTTTCTGTTAAGAATTCTGAATTTGAGTGAGCACATTTTCAGCAACGAATCTCTTTCACTGCATTCAATATATTTTAAAATTCTGACTAGAATTTGAAACTAGATGAACTAGTATCCAGTATGGTTAGATATAAATGTATATATGTATACTCTCCAATATGAGAACTGCCTATTATGTAAGAAGGGCTGAGCTCAGCTCATTTTATTTTCAAATTCACTCCTGGTTTGCTCATTTCTGTCAAAAAAAGATTTTCTTGCGGCAACTGCCACACTCCTCAACGGTCAATCATTTATTCCTTCTATTAGCCATTATTATATTGTAGTGCTTCTAACCTAAAGAGGGTAAAGCTTTGGAGGTCACACTGGCAGCTCCGAGCACTAAAGCCGACGTCTCTTAATGGACCTCATTTTGAGTATTTCAAGACACCCTTTGAAAATTTGTTCATTCTCTCTCCATTTTTTTTGCTATTGGGACTAATTTTATAGACATGCTCTGCTTTTGGCCTGAAATCTCTGGCTTTTAACTCAGCCTCTGAACGCTGGCAGACGCCTTTTAAAATGTATTTCTTCAAACATGATTCTCCTCCTTGCTCCAACTAGATTACAGGTAGTTTTGAAACTGACTGCTAGATGGAGATCAGATTCCTACCCACCTGCAGCGTCTCCCTCTGTGCAGAGCCTGACCGTACCTTTGGGTGAAGTCTACCGCAGGATCTCAGGGTATGGCTGAAACCTGCCACGTGAATGTCACGCATCCAATGGCCACCTTTTCTTCTTCATTCTCTTATCTTAGTGAAGGTCACAATCCACAGAATGCAGGTATCCCTCCTCAAGTATTTCACCCGATCTTCCCTGAGGGCCACCGTCTTCTCACTGGCCCCTAAATCTGTGACATCATCAAGTCCTGAGCTCCTCTAATAGGATGGTCACCTCATGCTCCAGCAACCAGGAACTCCAAAATTCGGGCCTTGTGCCTGGCCTCTCCCCTGCACCCACAGCCTGGAGGCCTCATCAGAACCCGCCAATGAGCCCTCAAACTACCTGACTCCTGCAAAAGGGTTCAGGGCCAAGCCTGACTTCTCTTAGGATGGAGTCACCATAAATTTATGACCCTGTTTTGGTCATGATTAGAGACAAGAAGATTGACCACCTGCTTGTTACAACATGTAATCACCCAGAATCTTTACTCAGTTTATAGCTTTCCCTCCAGAATGAAGAAAATGACTTTAGGCGGAGGCATGTGCATAATATACTTTAGAAGGAGTTGAAAGCTGGCACAAACTGGAGAGTTAGGAGCTCTCACAGTCTAAGTCAAAATCCTACTAGTTAGTAACCCACAAAGTTTAGAATCAGCCTAGTAAGAACACAAGGATACCGGGAATATTAGCCAAAAAAAAAAAAAAAGACAGAGACTGAGACCCAATTAGAGAGCTACAGGTAGACACTTATCACTTATTTTAACACCATATGTTTATTTTTTTTCTCCTATGCATCTTGGAACTAAGGTAGTCCAACATTTTTATTTTTTATTTTTATTTTTGTTAAATCTCCATGGCTAATAAGGTAAGTTAAAATTTCCTTGGCAACCAGCAAGGCCTCCATAACTGGCCCTAGCTTACCGAGCAACATCTCATCCTTCGCCCCTCTTCTGTCCATAGCAAACATTCAGAGAGTAATTTCTAGAATTTAGAGTGTTCTTCCAATACAGCATGTTCTTTCACACCTGCCTGTGAACACAGAATCCTTTCTAACTCAAATGCCATCCCTTTCTTCCATCTCAGGAGCCCCTATTAATCCTTCAGGACACAAACTGCACTGCTTCAGATAGGGTTACACCACCTTATTACACATATTCCCTACTTGTTATAGCACTTATCACATTGTAATCACCAGTTGTTGTTTTGGTTTTTTTTTAAAATTTTTCTTGAATGAGAACTCCTGGAAGAGAGGTAGGGTGACTCAATAATCTCTGTACATCCAAGACCTAGCACAATGCCTGGCACTCAGGAAATGTTATTTGAAAAATGAGTGAAACTTTATAAAGGCTCTGCCTCCCTAGAAACAGCTCTCTAGCTGCTCAGGACTCCATCTCACCAGGGAGGCTGGGTGGGCGATGATGTCACCAAACTTCAGTTTAGCAGCACAGCTGCTTGCTGTCACAGTTGATGGACGTAGGCTACTGTGGCTTCAATAGCTTAAACCTTAAAACAGTTTAATATCTTACCTTTCAATAAGTAGTACTTTTTCTTTCAGCAATTTTGTGGATCTTAAAGTCCCAGGGTCAGGAAGATGCCAACTTCTTTTCAAAACCAAAACCTTTATACTTGTTTCTTCCTCCTCTCTGTCCTGAGCCTTGACAAGCTGGGCAATAAGCTCCTGGTTCCTAATTTCTACCGGAAAAAATGGTGCTTCTGCTGGTGTCCACTCCACTCCCAATCCTCTCGGGCATATGCAGGAGGACTGGAACACAGCCACCATATCTAGATCAAAGGTGAACAAGAGGAAACCCACAAAGAAAGTACTCAGTCCTTCCTTCTCTGAGGAAAACGATCGTCCCCCCTCCCCAGAGGCGAAGATATATTATGTTCTTGCCCTTGAAAGACATTATGAATTGTTTACTCTTCATAAACATAAATTGCAATAGTCTGATATTGCAGCCAGTTTCACATTTTAAAGTTTCTGTGACACAGAGAGTAAAAACCATTTTAGGACGGTAAAGGCCCGGAATCAATAATATATGAAAACAGTGATATTTTGTTTGGTCTTAAAGATATGTATTAATCCTATTTTTTAAAAGAAATCAACACACACAAATGATCTTTAAAAAAAAAAATCTGTTCCCCTAAATTTTTTCCAGGCCATTGCATCCTACTAAAGAGGATAAAAATTAACTGCTACCAGATTCACGTCTTTTCACATTTCCTGCCCACCAGCCACTAGTGCAACTACCTTCTCATACATCTTCTCAGTCTATGTATGATCTCGACAACTTCCATGATTTGTAGTATCATATATATATGTATACACACACACATATATATGTAGTATACATATATATCATACACACACACACACACGTGACACTCAGGCCTGTTTTTCCTGTGTCCACCTATTTCCAAATATCCCCTGAACATTTCCTACATGTAACAAAAACATCTCAAATTCAACATGCTCCAAACCAAAACCTGTTCCCCTGTGTTTTGGTTAATAGGATAATACCATCAACTTAGTTACTTGAGCTTTTAAAAATCTTAGTTATTCTGACTCAGCAAATAATCATGCAGGGCATGAACCCTACCTTGAACTCAAAAGAGGAAAAATAGACCAATGAGATTAGGTCCTAGCCTCAAGAACTCTCCCATCTAGAAGAATCTAGGCAAGCCAGGAAAACACAATCCGGTGTGCAAAGGAATTGAGGACTGACTCACTCTGCCTGAGACCACTGGTAATGAGATTCACAGAAAAGATAAAATGAGTAATGGATTTTGAACAGCAAGTAAGATGCGGACAAGCTTGTTCCAGGCACTGAGAACGGCAAGCGTTAGGGTCCCGAAGAATCAATGAATATAATGGATTCCGTGGAGCTTGAGCACTGGGGAAATTCAGAAAGAACAGAGCAGTCAAAGTGGCCAGGAAGACAGGTGCGGATAAGATCTGTAGAGGGTCTT